GCATTTAAATTTTTCGAGATTTTCGTGATCCCGGGATTTAGTATCAGGATATCGGGATTAAACATAGACCAGGATCGCAGGATCCCAGTTTGGAAACCCTAGTCAGGTAGTCACTGTACTGTCTAATTTATATCAAAGTTTCAATTAGTATTTTTGTTTAAAGAAAAACGTTCACTAATAAGACGTTTTAAATTTTTTCAGTTATTGTTGCCTTGTATGCAACATTGAATTAAATACCAAAGAGTTATACGAAACTCATGTTCAGAACTGTGCCCACAAAACATACGCTTTTGTAGCAAAAAGTAATAATAGTCATAAACCTAATGTTAATATTAATAGCAATGATTGTAATACAACTGAAGGTAATAACTTCATGTTATTTTTATAAACGTAAATAATATAATAATTTCAATGTGTAGGTGAAAATGAAACTGCTCCTTGTTGTAATACCAATGAAAAAGAGCCTGTTATAGATTTAGAGTAAGTGTGATAAAAATAAATAAGTAATTCATCATTAATAATTAAACTATATTTATAGGAAACAGGATATTAATCCTGTTATAAACAGTGCAGAAATGTTGGAAAAAATTAATACCAATCAAAACGAACCTGTTAAAGATATTTCACCAGACGAAATAGGAATCAGTTATCTTTTAACTTCTTATATAGCTCTTTTAGAGTAAGTAAAAAAATACAGCAGAACTTCTCTAATTCGGACACGGCGCCAAATTGGACACTCCAGTAGTTTGGTGTCCTCTTACCAACCAGACAATTTTGATATTTTTACCTTTTTATTCCGGATGCCAACAAAATTCAAAGGCAAAAGAATGAAAGTCCGCATTTTTCTTGGACGGTGCAGGAGCCAGGAGTATCGTATAATGCTAAAAATTGAGCCAACTAAAAGACTCCTGCTGATGAAAAAATGCATGATTGAATTGCATTGACAAGAAAGGAGGAATACGTAACATTTCATTTTTTGCTGTTTCGAAATTTTTCCGAATATTTCAGATATAAAAAAATATCTACCAAGAACAAATAAAAAAATCATACCATGTACAAAATAAAAAAAATGTAAATGAACTTAAGGGGAAAAAATTGTCTCTGACTGAAGAGTATAATAAGGCAGGGACAAATTGAAGTGAAAATACTTGTCTTGGAAACAAAGGAAACAAATGACGACTTAAGTGAAACAGAGGATGGTTTGGTTTGGTTAGGTTTTTTTTCTTTTTGATAAAATCTTTATCGCTTAATCGCCTATCACAGATTCGATTATCACAGACAGGAGGTTATGCAGGGCAATTTACATAAACCTACTACATCTTGCGGCCACTACCACGTCAACTTCAGTAAGGATGTCGAGACACAGCTGGTCAACAGCCTTCCAGCAATGCTTATCACGCAGCATAACCGTGATGAGGTTTCTCTCACGGCCGTATTCATAGTCGAGCGCCAGCCGCCCGCCGAAGATTTCTCCGGCGAGCGCTTCGATATCGGGAGAGAAAAAAAGATCTTTCATAGTCAGCCGCCAGCGCACCGCTGGCTGGCGAAAATGACGGCGCGTCGCCGACAAAATTTCACTTCGGGTGGAGGGTTTTAACAATAGGGAACATGTTTTCTTCCTTTTTCTACACAAAATCGGTTATACGAACTTTAACATTCTCTAAATATTTAAATATTAATAATTAAAATATTTTATTGATATTGGGTAATTTAAATATTTTATTGATGTGTCCATTATTTTGTTATAATTCGTTTTAAAGTAATGAATATTATCTTCGTAATCCTTCACTTATAGTAAAAAGATTTACAATTTTTTATATACATATTTTTTTGGCTAGGTATATTTTTGGGTCATAATAAAAAGGATATTAAGTTAATAATTTACATAATGGGGAATTCCATAGGTCTGTTCGGTTATTTTAAAGTTTTATGGATTCGTTTTTATTACGTTTATAAATTTTTATAGACCTTAACCTTAACCTATTGGATTTTAAAATTATTTTAAGGGAAAATATGACCAGAGTAGAAGTAATTTATATTTTTAAATTGGCTCTATTTTTATTTTGTGTAGATGACTGATGTTTTGTGAATTTGGTATATTTTTTCCAGTTTGTGTAAATTACAAAGAGAATTAATGTAATAAACGTAAAAACAATAGGAAATATAAAAAATTATAAACATAACAAAAACAAAACGATATAACATTTAAATGGTCAAATAGACGGACGGAATTTATATGCCTCAAATGTAATGAATAATGGCCTCAAAAATACGAATGTCATCGTTCTCGTCGATTTCTGCATTTAATTGTACATTTAATCGTCACAATATTATAAATATCCATAATTAATTCAGTTTGCTTGGTGCTTCTTTCAACTAGAGAAATAAACCAGACTAAACTGGCGGGCCGCCCCACAGTGCTTCGTCCCATGGACAAAAATCGAAAAAAAAGTTAAAATTTACTAATATCTGAATATGTAATTTTATACTTATAGCAATGTTCAACCATCCTGTATATTATTTTTCATAAACAGCGTTTTTTTGTTAGCAAATATTTTCACTAAAAATAAATTTTGCGATCATTATCTTATATTAGTAAAAAGAATAACATTCATAGTAGTTCTGTATATGGAGTTAAACGGTATGTACTTAATTGAAAGCCACTATGGATATTGTTAAACAAGGTATGTACTTTAAATTTATTTCTAAACAAGTTCAAGTAGTTATTGTTTAGTTTTTATTTATTTTTTAAGATGATTCTTAAATGGGTATAAAAATTTTACGTTTTCAAACTTCAAAAAGTCATTAAAAAAAACATATCAAAACATATCGTATTTATTGAATATTTTTGTTGTCATATTCATACACTTTTAATTTTTGTATAGTTCACCTGCGTCCGCTTGCGACGGACTTTATTTTTTAATACTTTTCAGATGGAGTAAAATTGATAAGCAATGCCGATCTGGTTAATACTTGGCTTAATCATAAGGACAAGAACTCAAAATTATTTATATTTCAAAAAATGTGTTCTTTATTAGATATTGATGAACCTTCCAGTCCAATTTTATAACCACTTGTGCCTGAGCTCACTATGTTGGAGCGAAATGTGGCATAAAAAATGTTTCCATCTTTCAATTTATTATAAAACCTCATACCAAAGAAAACGAAAAAATAATATATGGATATGGTCTATTAAAGAGGTAACTATTAACATCCGAACCCCTCATACCAACAAAAAGAACAGTAACAACGCGAAAAAGTAACATATTAGAAAATGATGTACAGAAATATCTTATATGTGAGGATATTTCATCTACCTGTGATTTGGATAGTATAAATTTGGAAGATTCTGTCAGCAATGATTCTTCTGAATCAGAGTAGTTACGATCTATGCATTTTGTTGTCCTAAAGTAAATTTATAGTATCTTAAGTTTTTTTTTAAATAAAATCTAGCATTAATGTTTCTTTTTCATTAAAGAAAAACATTTTTATTTTATATTAGGTTTATATTGTAGGAATCATGTTCTAATGTTATTCCAATTCTTTTTTATCACAGGAATTTATTTAATACTTACACCGTTTTCATACTATAAATTATTATTTCCTTAGATGGAACACAGCTCCAACATTTTTATTATTTATAAGATTTTTTTTTCATAAACGTGGGACTAAGAACATCATCATTTAGTACAATGAGAGTACTCATCATTTGTGTCAAATAAACCTAGTTTGAATAAATTGCCTACAATAAAAGAGAAGTTTTGCATTTTTGTCCTCTAGAGCCATATGTTCGAAGCACTGTGCGCCCGGAGATGGTAAGGACATGCTCCAGTCGCCGACCGAAAATCACCGGGTGGGGTTTAAACTGCGCAAGTGTTCTTCGCCTGGAGATCGACTATGAAACGGAAAAAAATGCTTATCCAACCGCTCGCCGGCGAGAGAGCGGTTACTCTATATGACGGATGTGCGCACGCGTTACTCGGGGAGCGCTCGACTCTGAAATCAGAACGAAGAATTTCGGGAAAGCTCCCGCCAGCGGGCGGCTGGTCATCGACTATGAATACGGCCGTTTGTCAGACGTCCTGTGATGGCTTCCGTCTCATTTCTCAGTGCCACATGTCGGTCGCACTTCAATAGTATGTGTCCTGCATCCTCTACATCGCCACAAGCGGGAAGAGGCAGCTTTTCCGATGCGATGCCTGTAGGCAGCAAACGTATCATGCCCACTCAGAAACTGCACCAAGCAGTAGGTCAGTTTCCCATGGTCTCTCTGTAGTCAGCGCCCAGTCCAGCCGCCCCTATCGCTGCTTTGCCATCTTCTATTCCACAGCTCCAGGAATTTCTCTTTTTTAGCCTTGATAGCACCTTCTTCAAGACCATATGATTCACTGCTGTATCTAGCTTGGATATCTAGAGGCATTATCGCAGCGAGCACTTGTAGTGCTTTTGTGGACACTGGCTTGTTTGCTCTGCTTACATACAGGAGCACTGTCCTCTGTTCCCGGTTTAGAGCATCAACATTCTTTGCCAGCTTTAGAGTGGTTTCGGCCCTTGCGGGCACAGCGTACAGCAGAGCAGACGCGTGTGCAGTTGCCAGCATTCTGCCTGTCCAATCGCCGGCGCCACCATCGCGCGGCGAGGGCCTAGTTAGAGCTCTTGTACTCTCCGCTGCGTTCTTTGCCTTTATCTGAGTGTGGTAAACAAGGGTGTCATTTTTGTCTAACCAGACGCCCAGGTATTTACTTTCATCCCTAATTGACACTTGCACTCCCAGAATGTTGACCTCCAAAATAATTTAATCAAAAAGCATTTACTTAGTTGTAAATGTTTCTACACAAGATCTTTTTCTTTTGAAAGAAGTAAAAGAGAAGACTGTTATATATTCCTCCATTAATCCGGATATTTCATTAATTCGGTGTTCCGATATGAGTCCGAACTATTGAAGTTCTACTGTATATTTAACTAATTTGTAATTAACTAAACAATAAATTTACAGGAAAATGGGGATTAAACTGGGCATAAACAATGAAGAAAAGTTGGAAAAAAATGACACCAATCAAAAAGAGCCTGTTACAGATATTTCAACTAACGAAATAAGGGTTGGTTATCCTTTAACTTCTTATATAATACCTATATACTTATGTATCAGTTTTTACAGTGTACAGATAACAATGCCAGTAACACATACAAGTCCGACTCTTCAATAAATTCAGATGTAAGTGATACATTAGTAGAATTCAAACCACCTGCACTGTATGCCCACGAAGAATTACCAGATGCGATTGTTATTGAACCAGTGGCTTCAGATATCAACACAGCAGAATTAGCATTAAATATTAGCAGTTCATCGAAAAGCGTAGATAACTCTAAACATAATGAGGATAGGCCAGAAGAAATCATGTCAAAATCTGAGCAAGGTACACTGTAATATAGTCTGTGAAACGAATAACTTTCAATTTGACAGTTCCCGCGCGCTTTTCTAGTGTTAATTTTATTAGGTTAGCAACTTACGGCTATGCTGACGCAATGCCATCTCTAATTACGCCTCGGAGCGAGATTTATGACGTCACGCTAGTTAGATACTACGGATTAATAAATATGTTGTAGAATACATGGAAAACATAATTATTCCTCGTATTTTTGGTTTGTATTTTAAAAATTATATAGTTTACATGAAATTTACATAATATACAGTTAATAACTTTTTTAATAATATTAATTCATTATTATTTATTGTTTTTGTTTATTTTTAATATTTTGTTTATTTTTTAAAATTATTATTCTTAACACTAAAACTATCTACATTGACTATGGCTGAAATCGTACTCCATCCTAACCTAAATTCCAAGAAAATCAAAAATTTTCGAATAATTGTACATATAAAATGACAGCGATCTTTATTTTATAGCCATCGCTGACGCCTTTTTTCTATGATATTGTATTATTTGCAAATATAATTTTTCGAACATTGATACTTACAAAATATACATATAAATTTTGTGAATGCAAATAATAATATATCACTATTAGTAGATATTGAATGTTTTTTGTTAAATTAGATCGATTTTCAAACCCCGAAATTTAAAATATATTTTTTATTTTACCCATTATCTTATGTACCTATTCATTATTTGAGAAAAATTACATTTCGTCGTTGTCATTTTAATACCTCCTATGTGACAATAAAGGCTAAATTCGGATTTTTGCATATTAAGCTTGTTCATTTATATATCTATCGTTTAAAAAATATCTCCCATGTGTAAGTGTTCACTATTACTCACAGTTCAGAAAATATTAATTCCTCCTATGTTCACATCTCAAATACTAGATTTATAATTTCTTCTATGTGACAACTTCACACATAGGAGTAATCAACGCACCACCGGTCGTCTCCCGCCAAATGTAGTAGCTGCACATAGGAGAAATTCCATTACTTTTTTGGTAAACGTTTCTGTTGTTTGTGCAGTGAAGTCTTAATGAATTTTTTTTAGTTTTGTGATTGAGCGTTTGAATGTGTAACAGGTAAGTGAATAATAATTATAATATCATAATTTATTGCTTAAATACATTCGACTACATTCATTTTCCAGTTTAACGGTTATCAAATGAAATTCGATGAACCTAACCTAAAATTCGTACTGCCGGTATTTACATATGTTACATGTAGGAACATAAATAAATAATTTTCATTATTTTCATCATGCATCACTACATTTTGAGTACCCTATCTATAGCACGAAATCCTTAGAATTAACATCGAATCTACTTGAACAATTCATGAAATTTTGAATTTTTTGTTTGCGATTTTGTTATTATTTTGCAATGTCCATTCAGAATTGCAGAAACTGATCAAACTTAAGAAAGAGAATGTAGTTTATGACGTCTATCTGTGTATTTATAAGTTATGGTCCCCGTCCGGAGCACGATAGTTGTGAAGAAAACAAAATTGTTAAGAATGATTTTGATTTTTCACAGAATATTTGACAATACATTATTTAGAAATATACATCACTTTTTCATTTTTTCAAGATGCCATCATCAGTTTTCAAGCCTATTTACTTCCTTTTCATTATTGAGGGATATTTTTTGAGTCTACCTGAAATTAAATTACAATAAAGCATATTATTTCTGAAATATGAAAATTTAAGAAGGAAAGTTATGTTGAATCAGATTAATTTTTTAAAACGAATACATAATAATTTTTCATTGATCAATTGAATTTAGGTAGGAGATTATGCGATCCTGCATACATCCGTTTATTTTTCGTAGGCTAACACGATGTCCCGAGGTCGTAAAATATTAATGATGGTGAACCAAGATGGAGCCGATCCAGAACAGCCAACATGTTCGGTACTATCTAGCAGCCAGACAAAAGAGATGTTAATCGACCCTGACGATGAACTCTTCCATGTTGTGAATAGTATTTTGGGGAACGATCGGAATGACATGGAGCTCAATATTGTCGAATCCCATGGCCAATCCATTATTGCTCAAACAGCATTAACTGAAGACAAACCTGAAGATAAAAAAATCTATGACACTCTTGAGGTTCTTACGAATAACCTAACATCCGTTGAAGAAACTGATTTTTCCGAAAAGACAAATAAAGGAACCGTGTATCCCAATCATGAAAATGATGCTACATCAATTGACGTTGTCATGGAAGAAACGGTCAATGCAAATAATTCTGGTATCTGTGAGAGTGACACAAGCCACGCAAATGTTACTAATGCTGTTGAAATTGAAACAGACGGTGATGGAATAAACAAAAAAAATTCTCAGAGAGATACAAGAAAAAAACGAGTGAGTGGTTTGCCATATTCAGGTTACAAACGTTCCAAAGATAAAGTTTTGAACAACATTCCTAGGCCTGCACGAACTATAAAAGCAAAAAAAATGTTCTCACAAGTTGAACAAAAAAAATACTGCTGTTTCGTTTTCTTGTGCTTCTTTCACTGACGTAGATAGAACTGAAGCCTTTTCTCACTTTTGGAAAATTGAAAGTTGGAAAGAAAAACGAGCTTTTATCAAAGGGTTAGTCACCAAGAGAGGTATCAGAAGAAGGCGCAAAATATTAGATGAAGGTGGTGTCACAATACGTAAGAATGAAGGACATGATATTTTCTTACAAAAAAAGAATGGGGAGAAATTAAGAGTATGCTGAAATTTTTTTCTTAGCACTCTTAGCCTCGGTGAAGACACTTTTAAGAGATAGGTGAAAGGTGTTGATAGACCGAACAGTCATTTAAATCCGAAAGAATCAGAATCCGAAGCAAATATATCAGAGAATAAAGATGGGACAAATAAGAGCGTAAATGAAATGAACAATAAAGGTCCATCGAGAAAAAAATTACGAGACAATATTAAATTATGGCTAGGACAACTACCGAAGGTGTCTAGCCATTATTGCCGTGCTTCTTCGAAGAAAATTTATGTTGAATCAACCTTCAGATCGAAACTCCATATGTTCAGCATTTACAAGGACTGGTGTATTGCTCATGAGATAAAACCATCCGGTAGAATACTGTTCACCAAAGTACTAGACGATGAAAACATTGCAATACATATGCCGCGTAAAGACCAATGTGACCTATGTTGTGGTTTTAAAGTTGGAACGATTAGTCAAGACACTTATGATAAACATATAAGAAATAAAGACAGTGCTAGGGAAGCAAAAAACTTGGCAAAATCACAAGCTTCAGTGGAAAAAATAGTTTTAACCATGGACCTTCAGAGCGTGCTATTGTGTCCATTACTTTTAGCATCTCAAGTATACTACAAACAAAATTCAACTTCATAATTTTACATTATATGAGCTCAATGATGGGAATGTAACGTTATATGTCTGGCATGAAGGCAACGGTGGCGTTACAAGTAATGAATTCACTTCCTGCATTGTCGACTATATTTCCAATCTACCACAGACGGTCAAAGAAATTACTTTAATATCTGATGGGTGCAATTACCAGAATCGAAACAAAGTCCTAGCCTCTACTCTAAGCGATTTGGCGAAATCTAAAAATATAACAATCGAACAACTTTATCTCGAGCGAGGACACACTATGATGGAAGCTGATAGCGTCCACGCCACCCTGGAAAAATATTTCAAACAACCCATTAATTCACCAGCTGATTATATTGCTCTTATGAGAGTAGCTAGGCCTTCACACCCTTACAATGTAAAAGTGCTGGATTACTCATTTTTCCGGAACTATGAAAAAAACGCCAGTCTGTCCTCCTTACGACCAGGTAAAAAAGCAGGAGATCCTCAAGTGGTTGACATAAGAGCCCTTCTTTATAAAAATAATGGCTCTATTATGTACAAAATAGAGCACACGGATGAGTACAGAATGCTTCCTCAAAGACGAATCTTAAACGATGGCAACAATACGAAAATACAACCTCTATATAAGAATCCTTTACCGATAAATGAATCAAAGTATAAACACCTACAAGAGATGAAGACAATTATCGAAGAACCTCATCGTGCTTTTTACGATGCTCTCACATTCAAGCCAGACAAAAAAAAAGGACATAGTAGAGACGATTTGAATATTGAACAATATTTTCCCTGTTTGGTAATAATTCATTCATTAGGTTACTTTGACATCTTATGTATTTTTTCTATGTTTATTTAATAAATCATTCCAAGAGTAGACTAGAGATATTTGGATTGCATTAAAAAAAGCTCCTATGTAAACAAATGTAACATTGAATATCTCCTATGTGTTAATGAATTCAAAAAATTAATTCTAATTTAGCAATTTTAGTCAAAATGGGTAGAACTCTTATGTGAAAATTGAGGAAACTATATTGGGGATGTTATCAGAAATGCACTTTTCCCTCAACCATTGAAATTTCGCCCTGATTAGAATCTTTAACAATTTTCGACGATTTTCTCGAAAGTGTAAATAGTACACATAGGGGTTATTAAAATGACAACGACGATTTGCTGCATTTGTATGGTTCATAGTTTATTTGCCAAAGTATTTATTACTATAAATCGGTATATATATTGTATTTATTAACTGTATATTATGTATATTTCATGTAAACTATATCATTTTTAAAATACAAACCAAAAATACGAGGAATAATTATGTTTTCCATGTATTTTACAACATATTTATTAATCCTTAGTATCTAACTAGCGGGACGTCATAAATCTCGCTCCGAGGCTGTTTTATTAGAGACGGCATTGGTTTGATGTTTAGAAATGTCAAACGCTGATGACATTTTACTTTTGGCAATTATTATGACATTTCGTGTTGATTTTTGCAAGAAGAGGAAGAACTGTCACTTGTTTTATTATTTTCCTTTTCTATTTCACGAAAGTAAAAAGAGTTACCTATCTGATTCGCTCAGGCACTCAATTTAAAGACTACCGGTAACTTTTTTGACAGAGGGATTTTATATTTGCCATATTGGTAAAAAATAACGGTCAAAATTCAAAGTTATTCATTTTATAGACTATATATCTAAATAGCATAGTTTTAAGAAAGGAAGAAAACCATCGGAGCTGCAAGTTCACAGAAAACTTAAGTATTTTTTTGATTTAAATCATTTTAATCGTCTTCTCGTTTTCTATTTTTTAATTTGAAGGTTGGCAACCCTAAATAATACGTCTAAATAGCCTACTAATTTTTATTGTTACATTTTATGTAGATCTGGAAGCGATAGTAAAGGGGAAAATAGATAATTGGACACTACCAGATTTTTGTTATATATGCATGATTAATTTAATGTGGCCCGGTAGAGCTGAATTTCATTATAACTCGGATAGGCATAAACATAATATTGCGGTGTATAGAGATGGGCTTTTAAATTACCTAAAATCTCAACAAAGTAGGTACACTATAATGTGTCTAAATAACATACTAATTTTTATTATTATATTTTATATAGCTCTAAAAACGATAGAAAATGGACGATACAAAGCAGTGGAAGGTAAATTATATGCTTCTGAAGAAAAAAATAATTATGGTCCTGATATTGTTAATATTAATAGCAATGATTGTAATACAACTGAAGGTAATAACTTCATGTTATTTTTATAAACACAAATAATATAGTAATTTCAATGTCTAGGTGAAAATGAAACTACTGCTTGTTATAATAGCAATGAAGAAGAGCCTGTTATAGATGATTTAGAGTGAGTGAAAAATAAATAAACAAATAAACATAATTAATAATTAAACAATATATTTACAGGGCACAGAAGATTAAACCTGATATAAACAACGGAGAAATGTTAGAAAAAAATGATACCAAACAAAAAGAGCCTGTTATAGATATTTCAACAAACAAAGTAAGAGTCATCTTTTAAGGTCATCTTTTAACTTCTTATACCGTGCTGGCAACTCTTACTTTTGGGTCGATATTTACGTGCGTGGAAGTAAATCGCATATGGATCTTATTAAGTCGGAGTGAGAAAAATGCGACGTTGCCACATTTCTCCGGTACGCCTTTTCCTATCGAGTAAAGTAAAATCACGATCGCAAATCTCTGATTTTTAAAAGACTTTTTTTTCGAAAAGATAACTAGATAAAATCGTTAGTATGTTTCTGATCATCTGAAATGGAATTATAAGGATATCGTTAGGGTGTCCATTTTTTTATAACGAGAAAACGTCAGTAATCGCGATAATTTAAACACTCAACTTTTTAACACATAACACGCGTTAACTGAAGAACTACTTTAGATATTGAAACTTTATTATTTTGAAATTCGGATCTTTTACAAGATTTTTAAATAAGAAAAATTCGATAGGCTTTTTTTTTATTTAAAAATTTTAAAAACCCCATCCATTTACTTTTAGTGCATTGCACTTTTCAGCAATCGTGTAACTTTTTTATTTATAAAGATTTTCACATACTGTCTATAGCAGAAATATTAATTGAATTCAGAGTTCTAATAGCGCGACCACTGTCGAACACCAACTCAATTCCACTTATTAAAGAGATATCGGTAAACCGAATAGCGTCATGCAGTATTTACGCGTACCTTATTTTGACAGTTACGATATGCGCGAGTCAATTTTTAACGCAACGCCCGCTAATAACGTTACCGCCTGACGTAATTTGCGGATCAATTACACCAAGCGCTATTTCTAAATAACGTTTAAAAATTGCTTAAATGGGCATGTGCGGGTAATTGACAACCGGGGCCGGCCGGCTAGATCTCTCATTTTAGGTTATGTTTGAATTGTTTTGAATTATTACTTTAGTTTTATTAGGTAATTTGATATTTAAGTAGCTGGGATTAGTTTTAATTAAATAAATATGGCCCAAGATATGGATTCCACCTCTTCCAATATTAAAGAACCTATAAAGAGGCTTAGGTTTACAGCAGATGACGACTTAGCCCTTCTAAGAGAATTTGTTGCCTGTTGCCCTAAACCCACTGGCAGACGTTGAACAATAAAGCACTGGAAATAAGCACTTTAACCCTTTAGTTTTAAAATACCTAGTAAACAAAATAATTTCAAAGTTTTAAATTTAAGTAGCGGACGCGACGCGAACAGAATTCTTTCCGATCCGATAACTATAAATGAAGAGAGTTAATACCACTTCACGTAAAGGAAATAACACCTGGCGTTATTAACGTCTATGTTTACCGATATCTCTCTATTTTCACTAAAAGTGCAAGTGTTTCTAACTTGCACTTAAAAATTTACAAGCTATAGGGAAAATTACAACGACTCGTTAATAAATAAACAAATCAAGTATCACGAGACGTAATTAAATCGTAAAGATGAACGCATGATATACACCCTTCTCTAAAATTTTAATTACTGATTGGGTCGACCGTAAAAAATTTGCTGTATCCCCTTCCAAGTCTCATGGCAATGTGCACAGTTTCTGGGTATATTTCATACGTTTGACAACGTTTTTACTGGTCTTTTACTCTTTGTTCAGTACATTAATAAACACATTGTACAGGGTGTCCCATTTTGGTTGAAATCATACGGTATCTCCGTTATTCGTGAAGATAGAAGGGTGCGGTTTTTACAAACCTGGGCCACTTTTTTGTCAAATGGAAGATGCTGTCAACAAAATTTTTATAACCCTTTTCGTTTCTGAGCTACAGGGTCTTTTCGAAAATTTTGCAATTTGGGACCGCCCCCGTATCTCCGTTATTATGTATGATATCGAAATGGTGAAAACTGATTCTTGTAGAACTTTTTACGTAGAATACAGTGGCGTAGTCTGTTTTTCTACGAAAAAAATATTTTTGAAAATATGAACTAAAGTTATGTTTTTTCAAATGGAACACCCTGTATATTTATAAATCATGTGATCAGCTTTGATATGAGCTTCTCAAATATATATATATATATATATATATATATATATATATATATATATATATATATATATATATATATATATATATATATATATATATATATATATATATATCACTCTATATTTATTTTCACTATTTACTGCAATATTTAAAATATATCATTTTCTTATTAGTAGGCCGTGATAAATAACAAAATCAAAATGGTATTTACTAAAATAGACATGGCACATATTAAAATTTTATTTGGAATTGATACATTTTACTTTTGAACTGTTACCACTGAACCTCTAAATATATTTTTCTCTTTTTTATAACGGAATTTATTATAATGGGATGGGTTTGCAAATATTTAAAAGCTTGCATTATTGAAGCATTTTTCAGGTGTTCAACATCGTATTAGTTGCCACGATATATTTCATATTTCAAAAATCCCCAAAATCAGAGATCGAGAACAGACAAATCCGGGAATCAGGGAGGCCATCATATGGGTACATTGGTTCCAATTCATTGATTTGAGAAATAATAATTTAGTGTTAAGTTAAGTTGTAAGGGGGAGCCCCATCTTGCTGAAAGTATATTTCACGTAAATTAGCTAAAGGAATATTTAAAAGTTCCGATACGATAGCTTCCAAGATTTACAAATAGCGGTAGAGATTTAAGTTTCCCTAATATACAAAGAATTAATTAGTGGCTCTCAAAATAAAACAAGAGACAGATAGCAGTATTACTCTTAATAATTCTTTAATTTGTTTTATCAATCATGGCCTACTAAAAAAATGATCTTTTAATTTGTTTTTTTTAAATATTGCCTTAAATAATGAAAACAAATATAGAGTGTTATATATTTTTGAGAAGCTTATAACAAGCCAGATCATATAATTCATAAATATACAGGGTGTTCCATTTAATAAAACATAACTTTAGTTCATATTTTTTAAAATATTATTTTCGTAGAATAACACACTACACCACTGTATTCTACGTAAAAAGTTCTACAATAAACAGTTTTCACCGTCTCAATATCTTTAACAATAACAGAGATACGGGGGGTGTCCCAAATTGCAAAATTTCCAAAAAGACCCTGTAGCTCAGAAACGAAGAGGGCAATGAAAATTTTGTTTACGGCATCTTCCATTTGACAAAAAAGTGGCACAGGTATGTGCAAATCGCACCCTTCTATCGTCACGAATAACGGAGATACCGTATGATTTCAACCAAAATGGGACACCCTGTACTATCTTCTTACATAAGTAAATCTCAATCCAAGACTAACCTTTGCCAGCCCTTAGTATAGTACCTGTGTATATACTTATATATCGGTTTTTACAGTTTGCAGATAACAATGCCCGTGACATATACAAATTACATTCCTACGTAGACGATACAGAAGACAACTCTTCAATAAATTCAGTTGTAAGTGATACATTACCACAATCAGATGCTAACGTGGGTGAAATTAACGCAGCAGAACTAGCTTTAGATATTAAAAATTCATCGAAAACCATCGATAACTCTAAATATAATCAAGACAGGCAAGAAGAAATCATGCCACTTTCTGAGCAAGGTACTCTATAAAGTTTATGTCTAAACAAACCACTGTTTTTTATTATATTTTATGTAGATCTAGAAGCGATAATAAAGAAAAAATTAGAGAATTTGACACTGCCGCATTATTGTCATATATGCAAAACTAATTTAACGACGCCAGTCCGAGCTACAAATCATTATAAATCAAGAAGGCATGAACGTCATATTGCGACACACAGATATAAGATTTTCTATGAACTAAAAAGTGAACAGCAGGAAGCAGTGGCAGGTAAAAGGTTAGTACCGAGGTCACTGTATTATCTAATTTATATCAAAGTTTTAATTAGTATTTAAAATTTAAGTATAGAGAAAAAATTGTTCATTAAAAGAAGGCGAAAGTAATTTTAAATTTTCAGTTATAGCTGCCTTGTATGCGACATAGAATTAAATTCCAAAGAGTTATACGAAACTCATGTTGAAAGCTGTATCCACGAATCATATGCTTCTCTAGTAAAAAGTAGTAACAGTCATGAATCTATTGTTAATATTAATAGCCGTGAAGGTAATGATTCATTGAAAAGCATAGATAACTCTAAATTTAATCAAGATAGGCCAGAAGAAGACATGCGAAACTCTGAGCAAGGTACACTATAATATAAAGGAGATACAAATTAAAAACCGTTGCACGTCATCGAGCACGTGCGTACATTTTAGAATGCATTGTTGCCAGATTGTAATAGAGAGAGAAATATTTTTGAAAAATCTTTAATATAGTAATGGGCAAAACTGTTATTTTTAGATAACAGTTGAAACTGTTATAGTTATTTATAAAAAACAGCTTAAAATAACAGGTTTCTTTATTTTACTGCTAAATATCTGAAAGAGTATGAGGCGGTCACCGCCAGGCGTATTAACGCAGTTGCAAGTTGCAACAATGACGTGCTCGGTAGTAGTATTTCCAGGGTGTCAAAACATTTCTAAATATCGATTGTTATCTAAAATACCTCTATAAAAACGGTGGTTGTTTACAAATAAGCGCTGTTTACAAATTGCGATATAAAAAAGCCAAAATTCCGCCACTCGTCTATACCTATACATTCCGATCACCTACGCCCTGCCCCTCGATCCGGGTAGATCCTGAATTGCGTAGCAGTGTACAGGGTGCATCTCACTCGACGGGCGAGAAGCTCTTAGTTATGATTTTACCATTTGCGGTCAAAAAATAGCAATATAAGAAAATGTGTAGTATATTCTTCATAAGTAAACCAACTACACACTAGAGTTGGCATACACTAGAGCGGTAAATCTAAACCTCATTGAAAACCTCCCATTAGGGCTATATTTGCGTAGTGGCAGCACTGCACACATTTATTAGCCTAATCGATAGCGTGCAACGGTTTTATTTTATACGTCCTTTATCTAAACAGCCTACTATTTTTATTTTTGCATTTTATATAGATCTAGAAACGACAGTAAAGGAAAAAATAGATAGTTTGACACTAATGGATTATTGCTATATATGCCTAGTTAATTTAAAGTCGCTAGTCGATGCTATATCTCATTATAACTCAGAGTGGCATAAATGTAATATTGCGACATACACAGATGTTTTAAATAACCTTAAAAGTGAACAAGGTAGGAACCAATGACCTCTAAATAAAGTAGACCCGGCATGTCATTCATAAAAAGAAAAAGATCAGAATCAGACATTCGTTTCTTGTTCTATGCGAGTGGGAACAAGACGGGCTGATCGCAGTCATGAAGGATTCCCGAGAGAATGGCAACGCTGTTCAGAGATCTTGAGAATGTGTGCCAGTGGCGTAGTTACTTTGATTGTAATATATAATTTAATATTATATTCTCGTAAATATGATTTTTGATACGATATATTGTTGTGCTAGATGGCTCTTCAAATTTTGAAAATGACTACTTCTATACTCCAATCACTTCTATACGAAAATAACTAATTGAAATTATGATATGCACATTTCCATAGTAATGTCTGTAAATTGCTCCAGTAGTAATATAATCCATCAAACGTTCAATGAATACGAGCCGACTTTTATAAAACATTTATGTGAAGAAAGACGACTTTTATAAAACATTTATGTGAATTTATGGTATTATTTTGATTGAAGCAACGGTGAAAAATGAGAATATTTTAAAACTGTCGTGAGGAATTGCAATTTAATATTAGGTATAAAAATATTACTATTTATAACAACAATAATAAAGATCTTTGTTAAACAAAAGAAAATTTTTAAAATATTTACTTATTTCTGGATCAGTTTCTTCGCGGATAATCGGGACCTTGTACTGAATAAATAATTAACTATTCAATAAAACATATCAAACAAAGACGCATTCATCTTTTAAACTATATATTTTTTTTTAGTCTTAATAAACAAAACAAAAAATACATTCCGCTATTACAAAAATTATACTATCAAAAAAAAACGGCGTCAAAAATGACAATCGGTGATAATTTTGGCAAGGTGATATGTCATGACCCCTACTCTTGTTTATTTTTTAATGACACTTACTGGCAGTAGTACGCCTTAAGGTTGTATTTGATGTTTCGAAAATTCGAAAAATTTTTTTTTGGATATCGATTTGTGTTTCTGGAAACGTTCTATCCTTTTATAATTTTTCTATAATCAGTATTAGTTTTTGACAAGTTTTATGTCAATTTTTAATAAATGACATCTAGAAATAGACCTCGCCAAAATTATATTCGATTGTTATTCCCAGCAGTCTTTGACGCCGTTTTTTTTCGATCATACGGTATTTAGTATGTAATATCCATGTATGTATATAAAACAGATTATTATATAAATCTGTTTTGATTTTACACTTAAAAAATCATCTTTAATAACTAAAAATCCTAATAACAATCAGTATAATCGAAAAAAAGGCGTCCAGTTGGCTTAGAAAGGAACATCGATGACATTCCCCATATAAGCCGTTTTTTTTTTCGATCATATGGTATACCACTATTGAACATTTTTCGTAATTGTGACATCAATAATTTTTTTATAAATTTTTTCAACAAATTAATATTCGCATTTGTATACTTGGTTTTGATAATATTTAAATATTATGATCAAGATATTAAATAAAACCAAACGTGACGAAACTAACTTAATGTAATGGTTCATTACTTATAACGGTACATTCCAAAACTGTGTGATTTACTAATATTTCGAAAGATTTTTTCCTATTTTACCTTTCGGCACCGCACTGATGTAACATAGCCTTACTCACCTTCGAAATCAAACTTCTAGGTTTAAATCGTCTCTATTTTTTGCAAATTAAGCAAGTTCGAATCCATTGTCTTTTTAAATCGTCTCTATTTTTGCAAATTAAGCAAGTTCGCACCATTGTCTTATTGTTTCTGAATAAAATCACTAAAAATAATACCACAAAACACTAAAATATCTGGAAATCACCTCATAAAACATTTCGAAAAACCACAACACATTGGCAACGCCGTAAAGCATTTTATGAACGAATTCGAACTGGATGTTTTGTTGGCTGCCTGAATTTAGGAGTAAAGATAGTAAAATGCGTACGTTTTCAGTATCAGCTGGCGTTGCGACGTTGTCGATTGTTTTATGTTAAATTTCTTAAAATCTAAAAATTATAATTACAGAAGATTTAAATAACGGCTAATGCTGATTGGGAGTAGTTCGTGATACTAGGCTACCTTTAATTATTATCGGTTTAAAGTATTCTATGACGTAATCTATATTTGGAATTCCTTGTTTACAATGTGGGTTAGCTATCCCCGTACCAAAGACATTATAAAGATAGACCGAACATCTCATTCATAAATACTCGTTAGTAGTGTATCAAACATTCCAATGTGTCAAACAAGGACAGAAGAGACAGAGAAGTCTAAAATTTCCGCCCCCGGCAACTAGGCGCATTTGGGAATGTTCTAATGACCAGTGACGTATCGTTTTTTGGAACGAATTTAATTAGTAAAGTAAAAGTAAAGTAATTAGTAAAATTTTTACTCCATATTAATATACTACATTAACACTCTTTTGTCAGATGAGTTTTGTTATAAGGTCTAATATAATAATACAATTAATATCCTACATATACTTATGTTGAAACGTTAGTAGTTTTCGAAAATCACTCCAACGTCGATTTTCAATTTAAACTTTCAGTTACTTCTATATAAACTTTCAGTTACTTTTGAATATTTACAGGGTGACTCATGCTTCCGAAACAGTTCTATATTAGGTTTGTGGTTGGTGACTTTTCTTTCAATTTTTGTTTCAGAATATGGAGGCATTTAGGCACATATTAGACATTTTTCTAAACATAAGTGGCCAGTACATATTTTCAAACCAAAGTTGTAGATTTGCCATTAAATTTTCATTCCAGAAATACCTAGGGTTGCCACTTGTCCTTTTTTGAAAAGGATAGTCCTTTTGACTTTTTTTGACTTAAAAAGTCATTTTTATTTACGTATTTTCCCTGAGAAAATTACCTACAGAAAACAGAAATATTCATTTCGCCCAAATTTAATTAGGAATGTTATAAAACTTAACTTATAAATAAATTTTTCTTGTTTAGAATAGGCAACATTATTTAGAACCTCCCGTTTTAATCTCAAATGATAGTTTAGGTTTTAGTTTTACCTTTTTTTATCTTAAAAAGAACTTTTCAAAATTAGTACCTAATTAGTAACGATTTAGTTAGTTCGCAATCGATAGCTTCCTGTGAAGTACTGTGTAATAGTTGTAATCTTGTATTATTAATAACTTCCTATACTTAAAATCAATATTTAATGAGAAAATTGTGTTTTTTTTGAAAATATAAGACAAGATTTGACTCTTTCAGTATACGTAGGTAAGATTTCCTTTTAAATGCGGCCGAAGTGGAAATTTGGCATACATGCAATTTTCTAAGGCAATGATGGATTTCGCCAAAATGTAAGTCGCCGGGTCTAATTTATTTCGATGTCATTGGTAGGAACACTATAATACGTCTAAATAACCTACTATTTTTATTATTACATTTTATGTAGATATAGAAGCGATAGTAAATGAAAAAATAAACAATTTGACACTACCCACTTATTGTCATATATGCAAAGCTAGTTTAAAGTTGTCACACAATGCTGAGTCTCATTATAAATCGGAGAGGCATGTACATGGCATTAGGGTGTACAGAGATGAGATTTTAAAAAACCTGATAAGTGAACAACAAGGTAGGTACACAATAATATGTCTAAATAGCCTACTAACTTTTATTATTACATTGTATGCGACATAGAATTAAATTCCAAAGAGTTATACGAAACTCATGTTGAAAGCTGTCTCCACGAATCATATGCCTCTCTAGTAAAAAGTAGTAATAGTCAGGAGACGGTTGTTAATATTAATAGCCAGGAATGTAGTATAAATAAAGGTAACAACTTCATGGTATTTTTATAAACATAAATAATATAAAATAATTTCAATATCTAGGTAAAAATGAAACTGCTGCTTGTTATAATACCAATGAAAAAGAGCCTGTTGTAGATGATTTAGAGTAAGTGAAAAATAAATAAATAAATAAATAATTCATAATTAAGGCAATATATTTACAGGACACAGGAGATTAGACCTGTTATAAATAATGGAGGTATGTTGGACAAAATTAATACCAATCAAAAAGAACCGTATGATTCGGAGAGGCATAAATGTAATTTTGCAGTGCGCGGAGGTGAGATTGCAAATAAACTAGAAAGTACACACGCAACCAAACTACACAAAGCAGTGGATCGTAAAAGGTCAGTACATAGGTCGCTGTAAAATCTAATTTATATCAGATTTTTAATTAGTATTTAAGTACAGTGGTGGCCAAAAGTATGGAAACTTTTCACTTTTTAAAATATCACAGAAAATATTGCTATGCTTAAACTCTCAGGAATATAAATGAACAGCTTATCAGCAAATAAAAGTATTCCAAAAATTATACAGCGAAAAAAATCTGTTTAGCAATTTTTGTAGGAGAGCAATAGATTTCTTGTGGCCAAAAGTATGGAAACCATTAATAAATACATTAAAATTATTTAGTTTAAGCTGATAAACGGTACGATTTGCTTCAGATAAATATAAACATCATGCCCAAGTCTAAATATTTCTCTACGGATTTAAAAAATAAAATAGTTGATTTATACAAGAGCGGTTATAAACAAATTCAAATAAGTAAAAATTTAAACATTTTAAAAGGCACCGTTTCGAAAATAATTCGTAAATTTAATAAAACAGGGAACGTTTCAACAGCTTTTAAGTCAGGAAGACCAAGAAAGTTGTGCAACAGGATACTGAAAGTAATGAAGAGAATATCAATGGGAGATCCTAGAAAAACATCCACAGACATTTCTCGAGAAATGGGTGAAAGGGGAATATCGGTGTCTGCACGCACGGTGAGAATAAGGTTGGATGACATGGGACTTTTTGGAAGAGTTGCGGTGAAGAAACCACTAATATCAAAGAAAAATAGGATGGCCCACTTTAAATTTGCTCAAGATCATCTCACCTGGTCTTATCAGAAATGGAATACTGTACTGTTTAGCGACGAAAGCAAGTTTCAACTGTTTGGTAGTGACGGGAGACGTTATGTCCGAAGACCAAAAGGTACACGGTACAGCCATAAGTACCAGATGCCCACAGTAAAACATGGGGGGTGGGAGTATAATGGTATGGGGGTGTTTTTCTCGCTCAGGTGTTGGTCCTCTTGTTAAAATTGATGGGATACTGAACCGTTTTTTGTACAAAGACATATTGGAGAATAATATGCTGCCTCATGCTGATGAAGAAATGCCACTCAGATGGTTGTTTCAGCAAGAGAATGATCCCAAGCACAAATCTCGGTTTGTTCAAAATTGGTTAAATGAACATAATGTTCCACTAATGGATTGGCCCTCACAGTCTCCGGATCTTAACCCCATAGAAAATTTATGGGACCATTTGGATAGCAAAATTCGAAGCCATTCTATTTCAAATAAAAATGAATTATGGGAAGTGCTAAAAACTGAATGGGCGGCCATTTCCAGTAAAGATTGTACGAGATTGATCGATTCGATGCCACGAGGATGTAGAGAAGTAATTAATTTCAAAGGGATATTCCACTAAATATTAGTAATTTTTATATTATCTTGAATTTTAATAAACATTCTTCTTAAGTTTCCATACTTTTGACCAAGAAAATATTCATAATTTTTTATATATTTTTTGATAGCTGTAATTTTTTAAATTTAAATGTATTAGGTTTTGTAGGAAATTATGTGTAGGTCACGTTTATATAAGTCGTTTTATTTCATATTTTAATTTCTCATGTATAGTCGATTTTCCGAAATCAAATGTCGATTAGGGTTCACTAAAACTAGTTTTCGTTTAGTTTCTTTAATTTTGTCGTGAAACAGTGGCGTATTATTAATTCGTTCATTAATTTATGAATAATTAATTTTAATTATTGAAAATGTGTACTTGTTTCCACACCACCCAAGAGGTAAAGTCATGGGGCGTTTATTTTAATGTGGTCTCCCCGGAGGTCTATTCCACTAGGAAAATTAAAAACTTTAACTTATCTGCACAAGCCCGACGGACCTGGCTCTTTGATGTAAAGTCGATCGTGTCTGCTGTGCTGGGCTCATGAGGGTGGTCTCTCAATTCGTCCAACTCTTCACCTTCAGCCGCCAAAGGGATAACTACAGGCAAGTCCAACTCCTCTTCATCGGATTCGTCAAGTGACACTTCAGTGACGTTGTGACAGGATTTCCCATTGCAGTATGCACAAATCATTGATCATTTTAATCCTGCTTTTCTGCATCCGCAGGCTTTACCACAGTTGTTGGTTTTGCATTTACAGGATAAAAATGCTAATAGGGATTTTGGAGCTGGATCTGTCAACGTTGTGACTGGAGTAATGCCTGTTTTTGTTTTCTTTCAACCCGTAACATTCTTCGGAATCTTTGGTCCAACCAGACCAATGCTGAACCTGGTGGTAAGTTTGCAATGAATGCTGTCCAGCACGACAATTAATTATTCATAAATTAATTATTATTATATTGAACGAATTAATGATATGCCACTGTTTTATGACAAAATTGAAGAAACTAAACTAAAACTAGTTTTAGTGAACCCTAATCGACATTGATTTCGGAAAATCGACTATACATAATAAATCATACTTTAAACAAAATTGTAAAATTTCCAGGGATTTTGTGCCTAGACGGCTGACTTTCGCGAAAATTTCCGTAGAACCTTTTTTATAGGAAATGTTAATCTCTTTAATTTTTCTCTCTTCAAGTTTTTACGAAAAACGCATAGTTTTCGAGATATTTACAAAATACCAATTTTGGGCGCCATCTTGGCAAGATGGCGGCGCCGGCGGCAATTCTGGAGATGTGCATTTTATGGATTTTAGTTAGGGACCGCAAAACCTCTAAACCTGCAAAGTTTCAAAACTTCCGGACTTCTTTCCAAGCAGGCCCTTTTTTTGATCCCCAATGGCTGAACTAACAAGACACTAAAACATTAGACGATCAAATCTATTTTCCAAAGTTCCTTGATTAAAAAATTAGTGTTTTAACACAGCCATGGCGCTCTAGATTGAAATTTAAAATACAATATTCTTTTAAGCCAAAATGTCAAAAGTTGACATATGATATGTCATTCTATTCAGAGTGTTATTTTCTAGTGAATAAAGTAAAAATATACCGGGGGTGCCAAATTGAAATATATTGAATCGTCGCCAGCACGGATCCATAAAATATGAACGATGAGCCGTAAAAAAGAGTCGTATGAACTGAATTGGATCACAATGCCACTAGTTCGATGTAGGCATAGAAAAAGTCGGGTACCAATATTTATACTTTAATAAAAGCCCTAACAAACATCATAGACATAAAATGCAAACAAAAAGAAAGGCATTTGCAAGAAAAAAAACTTATTTATACTGTGCTTAGTACGGGAGTATCTGTAATGCATTTAATTTTCACGTTAATATTTTTGTTAAAATAATATTACCACAGATTATACAGATTATAATCTTTGTTTTTTCTTTATTGTTTTTCGTGGTTCCAATTTTCGGAATCGGGCACTAGTTAGGTGACTAGTTTGCGCACATAGCACGCCCACTTATGGCCTCTAAAATTGTGCACAGCGCCTGACCGGCACAGTTATTAGAGAGATATCGGAAAACCGAATAGCGTCATCCAGTATTTACGCGTACCTTATCATGGTTACGATCTTTGAATAAAAAGACTAAGGAAGGAGCATAATGCTATCCATGTATTCATGCATGGTGGGCGGAAAAGGCACCATAAAAGCTCTCTAGGGTGGGGATCCTTGACAGTTCTGTTTGACGATTCATTTGACACATTTGAATTTGATTTGAAATTTTGTGGATTTGTCAGTCTTTACGGAGCTGATTTTATGTTATTTATTATTTATTCTACTACTGATAGTTGTATAAAGGTAGTAAATCTAGATGGAAATTGTGGCAGAACTTAAATTAACAGTGACACTATCGCGATTTATCGAAAAAGACTCTAAAATAGTTGGTTGTGTAGCGTGCGGTAGATCTCGGCAAAAATTGAGTGAAATAATGGAACAACTTTTCGCTAGTAAGTGACTATATAATATACATACGTGTAGTAAACCGATCATTTATGAAATTCACTTAAATTAACTAAATTATATATTTTTCTTGCATTTTAGCTTTTATTTATTACTTGTCAAAGATTAGATGTCAAAGAATTTAGATACGTTAATTTGACTTACCTGCTTCAGTAGCGCATCGGATGTTTGTGTTAATAAATACTTATTATAACTTATCTATTTTTATTAGAATTATATATTTTTATAACAATTTTAATAACTACCAACATTTATTCACAACGTAAAATAAAACAACAAATTATTGAGTCTACCCCACGTCTACCCTAGATCATAGTTTTACATTTTTTAAATAAAATTAGAACGACACTGATAAACCGGAATTTAAGTCGGCCATATTTGAGGCCCATCGCGGTGTACCTAAGATTTTTGATATGCTCCTTCCTTAGTCTTCTTATTCAAAGGTTACGATATGCGCGAGTCAATTTTTAACGCAACACCCGCTAATAACGTTACCGCCTGACGTAATTTGCGGATCAATTACACCAAGCGCTCTTTTTAAATAACGTCTAATAACGTTTAAAAATTGCTTAAATGGGCATGTGCGGGTATTTGACGACCGGAACCGGCCGGCGAGATCTTTTATTTTAGGTTATGTTTGAATTGTTTTGAATTATTGTTTTAGTTTTATTAGGTAATTTGATATTTAAGTAGCTAGGATTAGTTTTAATTAAATAAATATGGCCCAAAATATGGATTCCACCTCTTCCAATACTAAAGAATCTATAAAGAGGTTTATTTTTACAGCAGATGACGACTTAGCCCTTCTAAGAGAATTTGTTGCTTGTTGCCCTAAACCCACTGGCAGACGTTGAACAATAAAGCACTGGAAATAAGCACTTTAGCCCTTTAGTTTTAAAATACCTAGTAAACAAAACAATTTCAAAGTTTTAAATTCAAAGTTAGGTTAAGTTTAAATAGCGAACGCGACGCGATCAGAATTCTTTTCGATCCGATAACTATAAATGAAGAGAGTTAATACCACCTCACGTAAAGGAAATAACACCTGGCCTTATTAACGTCCATGCACGCTGTTCGGTTTAGCGATATCTCTCTATTCGCTGTTTATTGTTATTTTACGAGCGTTTATTTTTGCGCACAGGAAATTTTACTCGTTTGCACATCGTAATAAAAAACAAATTTCGTACCACGAATTAGGGACAAGATTTTTATCTGTATACTTATAGGATACCTAATCTGTGATATTACCGGAAGCCATTTTTTTTTCGTTCATGCGGTATTATATACTATTTATTATATGATTATTAAATCGGAGTTAAAATAGGGTCTAAAAGCATTAAATTGGTATCAAGAAGTCTTTAATAAATAGTATACAGGGTGCTACAAATTCGAGGTACGAGCATTGGTATCTCGGAAACTGTAATAGACTGAGTTTTTTTAAAAAAACTGATTTTTTTAAAAATCGATTTTATTTTTTTCTGTCGTTACTTTTTAGAAAAATTGAATCACTATAATCGTGTGCTTAATTGGCGGCGGAATCTCTCAAACCCCATGTCAGCAGTTCAGGGTTAATAAAAAGACTAAAATATAATTTTAAATTTGCAGTTATTATTGTCATATATGCAACATCCGAAAGTCCAAAATGTTATATAGTGATCATGTTCACAGCGCTGTCCACCAATTATATGCGTCTCTAGCAAACACTAATTTTGATCATACTCGTATTGTCAAGGTTTATAGCAATGATTGTAATATAACTAAAGGTAACAACTTCGTGTTATTTTTATAAACATAAATAATATAATAATTTCAATGTCTAGGTGCGAATGAAACTACTCCTTGTTATAATGCCAGTGAAAAAGAGCCTGTTTTAGATGATTTAGAGTGAGTGTGAATAAAATAAATAAGTAATAACAATTAATAATTAAACTATATTTACAGGAAACATGAGATTAATCCTGATATAAACAATGGAGAAATGTTGGAAAAAGTTAATACCCATCAAAAAGAGCATACCCATCAAAAAGAGCCTGTTATAGATATTTCAACAAACGAAAGAGAAGTTAGTTATCTTTTAACTTCTTATACAGGGTTATTAACCTTCGTTCGATTCGGAGTATTGTAGCCTAGTTGAAGGACTACTGAAGCGACAATTTGGAATTATTTTCAAAGGGTACAGAGTGTCCCAAATAAATAGAAAATATCAGAGTTGTATTTTTTATACCCTGTATATTATTACATTTTTAGTTTCTACGATTAAAATAAAGGTAAATTTCAACTTTACCGTTTTTGACATATTTGCGTTTTTCATTTCTCCAGGCGTATTTAAGTTTTTAAAACCAAATATTGTACTGAAATTTTTCTGTTTACTAAAGTTTGTGTTGCAATAATAAAAATCACTACCTTGTACAGAGTGTCTAATATTTTTTTTAACTTGTTTAATTTAAATGAAACACCCTGTGTATTTTAAGAGAATCAGATGCACAATTTAATTGTTCGTCAAATTGTATTATACTATTTTTTTATCAGTCTCTTCAAGTTTTCGTAGAAAATGCATTTTCTTATAACTTAGACCTCATTTATTAATATTCCCATGGAATTTGGGAAGAATTGAATTGGAAAGAACATTTTAGATTATTTTTAAAGATGTAACAAATTTTCAAAGAGTACAGATCCTAATATTGTCGATATAGTTCGCTAATTTTATTAAAAAATAAAAAAACTGTTTAAATATTTGTAAAAGAGGACCAATTAATATGATCCCGGTATTCGAACTACACTAAAAAAGAAGCTAGTAATTATTTAATAAAAAATTTTAAACACCTGTATAACGTAGTATAATTTTTATTATCGCAACACAAAATTTAGTAAGTAGAAAAACTTCAGTACAATATTTCAATTGAAGCATTAAAATTGTTGCTACCTTTTCACAAAATCGTAAATTTTTCAAAAACGGTAAGATTAAAGTGCGATAAACCTTAATCAAATTTACCTTGATTTTAATCGTAGAAACTAAACATGTAATAACATACAGGGTATTCTATTTAAGTAAATACAACTTTAATATTTTTTTATTTAATTGGGACACTCTGTGCCTTTTGCAAATAATTTTAAATTGTAGCTTTATTAGGCCTCCAACGATTCGAATTTATAAAAAATCTAATCATTTGGCTACATTACTCCGTGTCGAATGAGGTGAATAACCCTATATAATATCTATACTAGATTTGGTCACTTCATCTGCGTGGCCTGTATTTTAATGTATGCGACAGAGATAAAAATATAAATGACCGGTTTGTAGGAAAATGCAAGTGTGTAGAAAAAAATAAACTCTTAAATACTTCTATGTATACTACTGAAATGAAGAAATATAATCTATTACAGAGGTAGTAAAATGAGTAATTAATTGTGAAAAATAAAGTTATATATACAGACCGGACCACCGTAGTAGTAACATAGGCAAAACCGGACGAATTAGCGTATACCCGTCCGCCGGATAAAAAGCAAGCGAAAAAATGCGATAAAATAAAAATAGGTAGATATGTGATAAGAATGTTTCTGAATTTGTATTTATTCGTATTTTAATAGCCAAAACGAATTCATAGATTCTCGCGACAGCTCTCGTGTAAAATTTATTTTTTAAGTAAAATAATGGATGTTTACAAAGTTCGTAAGAAATTCAAATTGTAAAATGGTATTTCCAAAATAGGTCTTATCGGGATATACAAACAATTTTTCCACAAACTTTTGTAAACAGGCCAATTCCATCTTTACCTACTATATCAAGAGTTTTAATAATTTTGAAACAAATGGGTGCGTGTCCCCACACAAACACAAAAAGCCTGATGTGTTGATTAATGAAGAACAGGAGTTAAAGCAAGTGTTCGTTTGTACTACCGCGGATCAAAATCCCACGTTTTCAAGTAATCAAATTGCTGAGGTAACAGATTCTTCACCTAGCACGGTTAAAAGAGTCCTTAAAAAGAATGGATACCGATCGTATAAAGCGCGCAAAACTCCATCTCATAAAGAAATTTTCCATGAAGACCAATTTCGGCGTATGGCGTTTTGTGAATCTGTAATGAAAAAGGCCAATTTAGATGAAAACTTTATTCGGCGTATAGTTTTCACCGACGAATCAAGTTTTCATTTATTGAGTCGTCATAACCCTACACAAGTGCGATATTGGTCTCGGGAAAATTTGCACAGATATTTTGAGGTACGCACGCAATATCCTCAAAAGCTAAATGTTTGGGGTGGTTTTGTAGGGGAGCATATGATTGGTCCATTTTTTATAGAGGGTAATTTAACTGTTACAAAGTATTTGGACTTGTTACAGCAGCAGATTGTGCCTAGAATTCGTGAGTTATTGGGAGAAAGATTCCACAATGTCTGGTTTCAACAAGATGGTTGCCCTGCCCACAATGCCCGTATTGTTCAAGAATATTTAATCAATACTTTTCCAACCGTTTTATTAGTGGATATGGAACTATTTTGTGGCCCGCTAGATCACCAGATCTTTCTCCCAATGATTTCTTTTTGTGGGGTTATGTAAAATCCAAAGTGTATGGTCATAATAGGGCTAATAATCTGGATGAGCTTCAAGTAAAAATACGAGAGGCTTTCCAAACTATTAGCCCTAATATGTTCAAGCCTTGCCCGTCCAAGCACAACTAACTGTCTACTGCCTGACCAGCCGACTAGCCGGCAGTGAATCTCAAGTACGAACGCGATCGGGTAAGCCTAAATTCGTCCGGCAAGTTGCTATGTTACTAGTAGTCTGGTCTTCTCTGTATACATATTTTCATAAATAATGCTTACTTGTGCGGTTTGAAAGTTTGATGCAAAATCCGGCAATACCGCATAGAAAAAATGTATCAACCATATATTATATTTATATTACACTATATTGCTAGTCAGGAATAGAAATTGAAGCCAAATTTTTGAGATGGAGCTATACAAAATCCACATAAGTCGGTCCTTTTCGTTCAACAGCTTTGAACTAGGCAAGCGTGAGAAATGCTTCTCGATTAGTTGATTTATTTCATACTAACCAATAAAAGTAGTTTTCCAAGTTTCTATATCTACCACGTATATCAAATCGCGCCTTTACTTATAAATTTAAAATTAATCTCTGACATATTTAAACAAAAACAAAAAACGGATAGATATGATGAATATCTAAAATAACAGGTTGAAATAATGCCATTAGTCATTTTACATCCCTATACATTATTAATACGTATAGTTTCAAATAGGGCACGGGCAGGTGATAGCGTTCAGCCATGAAGTAGACGAATCAGATCGTTTTATTCGGTGCGTGCGCATGAAAATCCTATTGAACGAAAAGGATAGACTTGTGCAAGATTTGTATTCCTATTCCTTTTCGTTGGCTTCACTTTCCACTCATTGTGTAAATGCGGTACTAGCAATATATTCTTATATTTGGTATCAACCCAACTTTTATCTCTTTTTAATACATTTGATTTTTCATTAAGCTGTCTACGTCACTCTCTTACACGTTAAAATCCAGACCAGGCAGTTTCGACGACCAGATCGGTATACTTATGTATCAGTTTATACAGTTTGCAGGTAAGAATCCCCATGACATATACAAATTACATTCGTACAATGTAAACGATTCTGACGATGACTCTTCAGTAAATTCAGATGTAAATGATACATTCTTACAATTTAAACCTGCACTTTATACCTACGAAGAATTATTAGATGCGTTTGTTGTCGAACCCGAGACTGAAGTAAATAACAACACAGCAGAATCAGCATTAAATGTGAGCAATTCATCGAGAAACATAGATAACTCTAATAACTCTAAATATAATCAAGCTAGGCAAGAAGAAATACTAGGTACTCTATAATGTCTAAATACCCAGTTATTTTTTTTATTTATTGCATTTTATGTAGAACTAGCTCTAGAACCGACAGTAAAGGAAACTATAGATAAATTGACGCTACCATATTATTGTCACATGTGCAAAGCTAATTTAACATCGCAACATAATGCCACAGCTCATTATAAATCAAGAAAGCATAGACGTCTTAATGGGGGATACAGAAAGAAGATTTTAAATGATCTAAAAAGTAAAAAGGAAGGACTCGAAGATAGAAGGTCAGTACCTATACCTATATCGCTGTATTTTCTAATTTATATGAAAGTTTTAATTAAGCCGGTCCTACACGATGCGTCCAACGTTGGTTCTAATATGTTTCGACAATATTGCAATTGACAAGTCTTCTACACGATGTATAGTCTATCCAACGACAAGATCTTTGACAGTGATAGATGTGTCTGTCATTTTATTTTCAAATTAGTTTATTTTATTTTACAAAGAATTAAGTTGGTACAATTGGAGCGCATAGCAGAAAATTAATGTATTTAAAATATGAGTGACAAGTGATTACTTTAAAATATTATGAAAAAAACTGTATAAAATTGAGAAAATCAAATCGAGTTATTTTATTAAAAACAATTACAGTATATGTTAATACAAAACAAGCAAGGGTTTATTAAAAACAAACGCCACATATAGTCTGTGAAACGAATAACTTTGAATTTGACAGTTCCCGCGGGCTTTTCTAGTGTTAATTTTATTAGGTTAGCAACTTGCGGCCATGCTGACGCAATGCCGTCTCTAATAGAACAGCCTCGGAGCGAGAATTATGACGTCACGCTAACATAATTATTCCTTATATTTGACTATGGCTGAAATCGTACTCCATAGTCAATGTAGATAGTTTTAGTGTTAAGAATAATAATTTTTAAAAATATGTGGTCATCTTTTGACAAGTGTATATTAGTTTATTAATTGCAGTAAACATTATGTGGTGTGTGAATATTTTATATGCAATTTTTGGATTATATTCGACACTATTTTTTTTATATGACACAACATTGATGAAGGCTATAATGTTAGCCGAAACGTTTTTTTAACCAAAAAAAATAATGAAAAACCAAATGAAAACTTAATCAGCGTTTTTCCCGAACCTAAATCCCAAGAAAATCAAAAATTTTAGAATAATCTTACATTATAAAATGACAGCAATCTTAATTTTATAGCCATCGCTGACGCATTTTTTCTATGATATTATATTATTGGCAAATATAATTTTTCGAACATTGATACTTGCAGAATATATGTACATATAAATTTTGTGAATGTAAATAATAATACATCACTATTAGTATATATTGAATGTTTTTTGTTAAATTAGATCGATTTTCAAACCCCAAAATTTAAAATATATTTTACATTTTACCCATTATCTTATGTACCTATTCATTATTTGTATATTGTAAAACATTTGTTGCATTTGTATGGTTCATAGTTTATTTGCCAAAGTATTTATTACTATAAATAGGTATATATATTATATTTATTAACTGTATATTATGTATATTTCATGTAAACTATATAATTTTTAAAATACAGACCAGGAATACGAGGAATAATTATGTTTTCCATGTATTCTACAACATATTTATTAATCCGTATCTAATTAGCGTGACGTCATAAATCTCGCTCCGAGGCTGTTCTATTAGAGACGGCATTGGTCTGATATTTAGAAATGTCAAAAGGTGCCATTTCGTGTTGATTTTTGCAAGAAGAGGAAGAACTGTCACTTGTTTTATTATTTTCCTTTTCTATTTCACGACAGTAAAAAGAGTTACCTATCTGATTCGTTCAGGCACTCAATTTAAAGAATATCAGTAACTTTTTTGATAGAGGGATTTTATATTTGCCATGTTGGTAAAAAATAACGGTCAAAATTCAAAGTTATTCATTTTATAGACTATACCAAAAAAAAAATATATAAAAAAGATTTCCGCCTTTAAAGCTCAAGCAACTTCCTGCATTTATTGTTACATTTATCAATATAATTATTCAATATGATTATTATTTACCTATCGTGTGCTGCTATTTTACAGGCACTCCAGTTTTTGATATCATATATAAGATAGTATACAAACTTTATTTGTGGCTAATACATCTCTGACCATAATCTCTGGCAAACTGTCTCTGGCGGTCTCTGGGCACCGAATATGAACTGTAAACTATGGTCTGGGTCAACACTTAATAAACACGTAATAACACAGTCCAAAATGCAAAATATTTATCATTTCTATTTGACATAATTTGACACAAAATTTTAACCTATAAATTGGTTGACAACTCTCAAAAATCTTAAGACGAGTTCACACGCATCGGCGTTGGTTTGTCGCTCATTTTTGCGTCAAACCAATAATATTAAAATATGATCTGTCATTTTTGAAATAAACCAATAAAACTGGTTAAAAACAACAAGAGATGACGCATGACAGATTTATATATAAATCCATCCATAGTTAACTTAAAAAATATTAGAAACTTTTTTTAGTTAAATAAATGGATTGGTATGAACGTCATCCGCTTTTTTTCTGTCATCGTCTGTCAAAATCTTACCTGAGAAAAAAAAACAGAGTATAGCAATTGTTCATGTGTCCAACGTTAGAAGGTGTTTGCTTCATCGTGTGGGACCAGCTTTAGTATTTTTGTATACAGGGTTGTTAACCACATACGACACGGAGTATTGTAGCTAAACGATTAGATTTTTACAAATTGTATTGTAAATTGGGTTCGTTGAAGGACTATTAGAGCTACAATTTCAAAATATTTTACAAGATACAGAGTGTCCCAAATAAGTAAAAAATATAGTTGTATTTTTTCAAATTGAACACTCTGTATTATTCTATTTTGAATTCTATGATTGAAATAAAGGTAAATATGATTAAGGTTTATCACAGTTAAACTTACCGTTTTTGAAATATTTTCAATTTTGTGAAACTGCAGTAAAAAAATTAATTTATTAATTAAGGGTATCAAAGTTTTTAATAGTAAATATTTACTGAAGATTAGTTATTGATCAGATATTGTGTTGCGATAATAAAAATTATACTACATTATACCAGAGTGTCCAAAAATTTATTTTTTTCAAAAATAATCTAAAATGTCAGTATTCCATGGGTATAGTGATAAATGAGTTCTAAATTATAATAAAATGCATTTTCTACGAAAACTTTAAATTAAAACAAGTTATTGCCGTTTAAAGTTAATAATTATTTAATATAAATTTTTAGACACTCTGTATAAAGTAGTATTTTGTTTATTATTGCAACACGATCTTTTATCAATAAATAAACTTCAGTAAATATTTAGTATTAAAAACTTTGATACCCTTAGAGAAATGAAGCCTTAAATTTTTTACTGCAATTTCATAAAACTGAAAATATTTCAAAAACGGTAAGGTTTAAGTGTAATAAACCTTAATCAAATTTACCTTTATTTCAATCGTTGAATCTAAAAATAAAATAATATACAGGGTGTTCCGTTTAAAAAAAATACTATCATATTTTTTACTTATTTGGGACACTCTGTATCATATAAAAATATTTTTAAATTGTAGCTCTAATAGTCCTTCAACGAACCCAAAACTTACAATTTGTAAAAATCTAATCGTTTAGCTACAATACTCCGTGTCGTATGTGGTGAACAACCCTGTAGAGAAAAAAACGTTCATTAATAAGAGTACTAAAATAATTTTAAATTTTCAGTTATTGTTGCCTTGTATGCAACGAAGAATTAAATTCTAAAGAGTTATACGAAATTCATGTTCAGAGCTGTGTCCACGAAGCATATGCTTCTCTCGGAAAAAGAAATAATCGTCACAAACCTATTGGTAATATTAATAGCAATGATTGTAATATAACTGAAGGTAACAAACTTCATGTTAATTTTATAAACATAAATAATATAATAATTTCAATGTCTAGGTGAAAATATAACTGCTGTTTGTTATAATACCGATGAAAAAGGGCCTATAGATGATTTAGAGTGAGTGTGAAAAAAATAAATAAGTAATTCATTATTAATAATTAAACTATACTTGCAGGAAACATGAGATTAATTGTGATATAAACAATGGAGAAATGTGGGAAAAAATTAATACCAATCAAAAAGAGCCTGTTATGGATATTTCAACAAAAGAAGAAATAAGAGTTGGTTATCTTTTAACTTCTTATATAAACCTATATACTTATGTATAATTTTTACAGTTTGCAGGCAACAATCCCCATGACATATACAAATTACATTCGTACTACGTAGATGATCCAGAAGATGACTCTTCAGTAAATTCAGATGTAAATGATACATTCTTACAATTTAAACCTGCACTTTATACCTACGAAGAATTATCAGATGCAATTGTTATTGAACGCAAGGCTGAAGTAGATAACAACACAGCAGAATTAGCATTAAATGTTAGCAATTCATATAACTCTAAATATAATCAAGTCAGGCAAGAAGAAATCATATCAGAATCTAAGCAAGGTACTCTATAATGTCTAAATACCCTGCCATTTTTTATTTATTACATTTTATGTAGATCTAGCAGCGATAGTAAAGGAAACTATAGAGAATTTGACACGAACGGATTCTGCTTGTTATAATACCAATGAAAAAGAGCTTGTTATAAATGATTTAGAGTAAGTATGAGTACTGTTGGTTGTTACCTTTGAATAAGAAGACTAAGGAAGGAGCATAATGCTATCCATGTATTCATGCATGGTGGGCGGAAAAAGGACTCTAGGGTGGGGATCCTTGACAGTTCTGTTTGACGATTCATTTGACACATTTGAATTTGATTTGAAATTTTGTGGATTTGTCAGTCTTTACGGAGCTTATTTTATGTTATTTATTATTTATTCTACTACTGATAGTTGTATAAAGGTAGTAAATCTAGATGGAAATTGTGGCAGAACTTAAAATAACAGTGACACTATCGCGATTTATCGAAAAAGACTAAAATAGTTGGTTGTGTAGCGTGTGGTAGATCTCGGTAAAAATCGAGTGAAATAATGGAACAACTTTTCGCTAGTAAGTGATTATATAATATACATACGTGTAATAAACCGATCATTTATGAAATTCACTTAAATTAACTAATTATATATTTTTTCTTGAATTTTTGCTTTTATTTACTACTTGTCAAAGATTAGATGTCAAAGAATTTAGATACGTCAATTTGACTTACCTGCTTCAGTAGCGTATCGGATGTTTATGGTTATAAATAATTATTATAACTTATCTATTTTTATTAGAATTTTATATTTTTATAACAATTTTAATAACTACCAACATTTATTCACAACGTAAAATAAATAAATAAATTATAGAGTCTACCACACGTCTACCCTACATCATAGTTTTACATTTTTTAAATAAAATTAGAACGGCACTGATAAACCGGAATTTAAGTCCGCCATATTTGATATTGCCCATCGCGGTGGACCTTAGATTTTTGATATGCTCCTTCCTTAGTCTTCTTATTCAAAGGTTGTTACAAAGGGATTCAAAATGATTGAAATGGTTGGCTATTCTGATTTTGCCCATTTGGTTGGCAGTAAATTTACGAAATTCAAATATTTATCGGTTGTTATTGCTACCGCCAAAACAAACCAAAAAGTGAAAATATGATTAGTTGTTTAATTATATACAAATTAGTTTTTAGTAATCAAAACAAGATGAGAAATAAATGGATTTAATCTGAAGGTTTTCTAAATTAAATGTTGAAAAGTGCCTATCTAAAACAAAAAAGACTGAATATAGGTTAGGGTACGCGCTAGGTACACCCATATACCTAAAGGTAGGGGGTACCATAACCGCTAGGTACACCCATAGACAAACTAACAAAAGCAAGACGCGTCAACGCTGTACTGCAAAACGGTAACAAGTTTGATAAGAGTTTATTACCGCGCTTGCGTCAACTGGCCTTTTAGACGAGGACGGTTTACTTATGGATTGTGTATTTTGTAGTTGCCTTTTAGACAAGGATGTTTAATTAAAAAGCGTTTATTAAAATCAAATAAATTTATTTCCATCGGTAAAATAAACAATAGTTTCTGGACATAACAGATATAAAAACAAAAGTTAAATAAACGAAAACGTATTCCTCTTATTAAAATAACAAAAAAGATGATAAAAAAACAACAGTTATGGTAAACGAAATAAAAGCATTCTTCAAAAGGTACAAAAAAATAATTATGTATGTTATAATATTAATAATAGGAACAACAAGAAACATCTTAAAAATATACAACTTTTTCAAATATAAAACAAAAACATAAACTTCACATTTTCACAAGAATTTGCAAAAATATTAACATTTCGAGTCTATTATAAAATATAAAGCACGAAAATTCAAATCATAAAAAGATTAAAAAGATAGAGATTCTTATAACTTACAGTCAATTTGTAGGACCTTCGTTTTGTCTACGTTAGCGATGTAATCACAATAATATGTATAATCACAGTAATTATTATGTTCTTCATAAATGTAAAATGTATTAAATTATTTGTTTTCGTTTTGTACGCTAATAAAATAATAGTAATAACCAAACAAAATGCAAAATCAGGAATTCAACAGTTCGTTCAAGGCAAAAACGTTTTTCGTTTTATTTAGGTTAGGTTTGACGAGTGCGACTGCGCGATGATTTCTGACTCAACTGGCCAGCGCAAAAACAATAATTCGACTTCCTCAATCCTTTGAAAAGTCTTGCTTTTGTTAGTTTGTCTATGGGTACACCCATACACCCATATAAATAAAATATAACCAGCCTAACTCTAAAAAGTGATACCCAAATAGTGAAAGGAATTATGGAATTCTACATAAGTCTATTTCACCCGCATATTCATTTAATTGCGCATGCCTCACCTGAATAAGTTTTCATTGGTCGGTGTTTTTAAAGGGAAGTGGTTGACTGACATTTCACCTAACCTTCAATTTTTTTTTATTATTTATAACAAATTATCATGGAGTTTGGTTTCTAAATACACTCTTTTACACGCACAAAGAAAAAGTAATCGAAACAGAACTAAAACAACAATCAATCGGAGTTTGGCGCAATCGCAGTTCAACAATGTCCGAGTGAAATAGACTTATGCAGCATTAATATAGACTGAGTTATGTTGTCTTTTTCTTACGGCACGGAAACAGCACACAGGGTTAAATAGGGAACACTGAGTATATTTTATTTATACACATATGGGTATACCGCGCTGACAAGTCTTGCTATTGGGTCGGTATTTAAATGCGTGGAAGTGAATCGCGTAGGGATCTTATTAACTCGGAGCAAATACGTTCAAATAAAATATACGGAGGGTACCGCTGAAATTCCTGTCCCGATGTTGAAGGATGGCTATAGAATGTCAATGCATTTCCTACATAAGTCTATCCTTGTTCGGGAGGAGGTTTTCTGCGCTTGCTCGATCTGTAAGCACTTTGATTGGACAGTTCCAAATCATATGATATGTTTTGTTTTGGTTTTATTTTTATTTATTTTAAGTTGAGGTTAAAGACGTTCTAGTAATTGAATTAAATCTTTCGAAAAATTGGAAGCTTTTTGTTAAATATTCTGAAATCAAATAAGTTTGATAATGTAACATTATGCGCATATTTATCAATTGAGATATTTTAATCGTATCCAACATGTTATGGCAAAACACTTTTTCAACCAAAAGTTTTCAGATATCTTCGATTTAGTTATTTTCGAATGTTTATTTTGTTTATATCTATTACAAACTCAAGGAGCAACAGTTTTTTACAAGTAGTGTTAATTTTGATGCTGGTGCAATACTTCTACTCGTTAAAATAAGTTTATTATAAATATTACAGACATTTAAAAAAATAGGCTATGGAATAGGTATATAAAAATTATTTTATATCTGTCTCACAATGGGGGGCTCCTAGTAGCGTAATAGGTATCTGCAGTGCGATTCTGTAAACATTTCCCTGTCTAGTGACTCATCAATCGTATACAAATAGCATAGGCTCGATAGGAAATTTCTTGCTACAGAGCTTACAGAATCCCATTGCTGATTTCTAAAATTCTTTTTCTAGATAGGCTTCCCGCATCGTAAAAACTCCTATTTTATGGTATGTAATTAGTATTCTGAAAGTATTAAAATATTTTAATATCAATATAGTTTTTTCACTGAAACTCGAGTTAAATCTTAATATACATTATTCATATTGTCGTTTTAGAGATTGTGCTTTTATACTTACTATTATGAAAATTTACTGAATAAAATATATAGTTGCAATCCTTTTACTGAACTCCTGAATTTCTTGTTTTATGAGGGGATAATTTTTGCTTATTTAGGTACTAATTTTAATTAGACCATTTTTTAATGAACTCATTTATATTTATATCATATCGTTCTAAGTAGACTTTGTTGTGTTAGACTCTCATTGCTCTTATGGGGAGGCCGCGGTATATGTAAATTTAAACGTATTTGACTCGGAGTGAGAAAAATGCAACAGTGTGCTGTTGCGGCGTTGTCACATTTAACGGAGATACAGGTGCGCGTTTCCTTGGTCGAAAGGCGCTTATTTCTATTTTTTTTCGGAAAGATAATTAGATAAAATCATTAGATATGTTTCTGAGCATCTGAAAAAATAAGAATATCGTTATGCTGTCCATTTTTTTTGTCAATGAAATTATATAATTTTCTGGAATCTTTCCATCGATGATCTGTTTTAGCATCGCTACCAATCACCAAACCTAAAATCCTCAGACATTGCCAACTGTTTCATCACTGTGAACCGCTGGCTATACTTAATATGTATAACTAACCAAACAAATATTTACAGGAAAAATGAAATAGAAATTGTTGTAAACAACGAAGAAATATTGGAGCAAAATAATGAGCAGTTAAAGAACACATTCAACGAGATCTCCGATATCGAAAATTGGATAATAGACAAGCATAAAAATGAAATAATTGCGATACTAAAACAAAAATTCACTAATTGTGAGAAGACCGAGTGTTACAAACTTCAAGCCGAAGTTTTTTTACATCTAAAACAAATAATTAATAAAATATATTGCACAGATTCTCCACCTTTAATAGAAACTTTAAAGGTGTTAGAATCTGTTCACAAAAACTTGCACAACCCTGTTCAAATTAGTGAGGAAAAATGCACACAGTTAAAAACTGGCAAAGTTTCTGAGGTGGAACCTTTTAAACGCCAATCAACCAGCCGGTTTGGTTATGTCAACTTAACTGTCATGGCAACTGTCACGGCAACTGTCACAGCTTGTGTATGGTGGTTAATAAAGAAAAGGCAATAGATTTCCTAAAAAAGAGCGAATATTAACAACAATATAGGCCAAATTGAGTAAAAAAATACTTTTTCATACGTCACAAAAATTAATATGAACTAACTGTCAAAATATAGGATAGTTGCGATTTTTTTAAATACTCTTTGGTATGCATGGAGTCAGCCACAACACAGATCTAGACTGTATGTTCTTTTTCACCTATTTTTCTCAAATATTAGTTATAGTACAAATAGAGTAGATAATAGTATAATAATAGATATATAGTACAAATATTAGATTCATGTAAGTAATACTCCCATAAGGCTAGTATATAAAAATACATATCACAATTCGTCTGCAAAGACTGAAATAGAAAAGTGTATTTAAGTGGGGAAGCAAGAGAGATAAAGGAGAGGTATACGGCATAACCGATTGTGTATCACATTATACTATCCTATAGTCTAAAAGCTGGCTACATAAAAAACCTTATCATCGTTACATGGCTAATTTTTCTTGTGAAGTCTCCTTATGTGTAGCCATTATGAAATAGTCATGTCTGCCAGCGCGATCCCGGGGCTTAAAGCGGGGGCGGCCGATAGAAAGGGTGAAATTTTGACACTAAAAATATTATCAGGTACACGAGTTAATTGCGAAAATAGCTTTTATTTATTATTAAGGAACGTGAAAAATTGTTGGCAGACATTTTTGTTGTCGCTAAAATGCCGGCAGACAACGTGAAAGAGGCATGAAATTTTGGAAAAAAATATGGCTCACATGCATGCCGATTTGTGGAATGTCATATTTATTCACTTTAAAAGCCATATGCAAAAGCGCAGATAAAAATATTGTGGCTAAGTAAGCGGCAGACAGTTATCAAAAGCGCGATATTACTCTAGCTCTTTCAGGGGATCGTGCATTTTTTTAAATAGTGCATTTTTTTTAAATTTTCCTTTATATTTTAGAAATCTTTGTGCAACTGCCTGTTTGACCTGTTGCAACTGCAAATTTAACCACGGTATAATTTTTTAATCTACCATATGCTTACGGCTTTACTCTATGGTTACGACACTAACAGAATGGATGCAAATACAGAAAAAAAAACAGGTGACTGACAAAATTATTTAAAAATAAATCTTTCTAAAATGTATTTTTAAATTTTCAAACTGAACGGTTGTTTTGGACTCATTTGAAAAACGGTAAAGAGAAAATATATTTCTTTTGTCGAGTTACCAGCCCTGAACATATTTGCACTTATCCAAGACTCAACCTGTAGAGTAATATCGCGCTTTTGATAACTGTCTACCGCTGATTGAGCCACGATTTTTTTCGTCTGCCCTTATGCATACGGCTTTTTAAATAAATAAATATGACATTCCTCCAATCGGCATGCGTGTATGCGTTTTTTTTGTCAAAATTCCCTGCCTCTTTCGCGTTGTCTGGCGGCATTTTAACCACGAGAAAAATGTCTGCCAACAATTTTCCACGTTTCTTAATAATAAATAAAAGCTATTTGGCAATTATAACTCGTGTACCTAATAATATTTTTAGTGTCAAAATTTCACCCTTTCGATTGGCCACCCCTGCTTTAAGCCCCGGGATCGCGCTAGCAGACATGATTATTTCATAATGGCTACACAAAAGGATACTTCTCAAGAAAAATTAGCCATGTAACGATGATGAGGTTTTTTATGTAGCCAGCTCTCCGTCTATACAGGTTGATTCCTGTAAGTCGGTCATGCTTTCGAGGAATGATAGGGAACGTCGAAATATTAATTTTGATATAGCACACTATGGGTCAGAAATGCCCTTTACGCAAGATACAGGGTGTTAAAGTTTTTGAAAAATTAAAGATATTCTTTAATAGTTTTTTAACAGTTGAAGGTATCATTATAAAATTTTATTATAGGAGTCTGCCTAACAGAGACACTTTAAATGTAAAAAGAAGAGGTTTTAGTTTCAACCAGTGGCGTAGCTGTGATACGCATCGGTATATAATCGTAATATTTAAAAAAATAGTACGCCACTGATAAAATTTAAAATTTCGGAGTTCTTTTATTTACTCGGTTTATTTCCAAGAAAAAATGTCTCTTTCAATGCAACTTTCTTCTATCTAACACCATTTTGTCACATTTTAAATATAAATATTTTTTTAATGAGAACCTTAAATATGCGAATTCTAATAACTACCTTAAAACTACGAATTTTATTATTAACAATAAAAAAAATTCTAGTTTAAATTTATAATTTTTTAAAAAATTATTTAGAGCTAATAGTAAAAAGTATTAAAGTTACCCAAGATGAAGGGAGCTGATGCACATGTGTTTCTGCCCTCTAATTATAATAATTCGCTGTATTTAAGATTCTCATTAAAAAAATTATTTATTTTTAAATTGTGACAAAATGGTGTTAGATAGGAGAATGTTGTAAGAGACATTTTTTCTTGAAAATAAACCGAGTAAATAAAAAAACTCCGAAATTTTTATTTTTATCAGTGGCGTATTATTTTTTTTGAAAAAATTACCCGATGCGTATCACATCTACGCCACTGGTTGAAACTAAAACCTCTTAAGTGTCTCTGTTAGGTAGATTCCTATAATGAAATTTTATAACAATACCTTCAACTGTTAAAAAACTATTGAAGAATATCTTTAATTTTTCAAAAATTTTAACACCCTGTATCTTGCGTAAGAGGCATTTCCGACCCATAGTGTGTTATATCAAAATTAATATTTCGACGTCCTCTATCATTCCTCGAAAGCATGACCGACTTACAGGAATCACCCTGTATATAGGGTGGTCCAAACTGTATTCCTGAAACTTCACCAACATATTCTGCACATAAAAATAAGTAAAAATTTTCGGATAAACTTGTGTCTTAAAATGCTTCGTTTCGGAGATACAGGGTGTAAGTTTCATTTTTATTTCGATTTTTTCCTAATAATTTCTGAACTAAATTTGGTATTCGGACGAAAATTAGTATCTGGGTTTTTTAACATGAGAAATGTGATTTCGATGTCAATATGACTCCTACTTGTAGGGGGCGCCACCTACATCTGTTTTAACCTTTGAATAAGAAGACTAAGGAAGGAGCATAATGCTATCCATGTATTCATGCATGGTGGGCGGAAAAGGCACCATAAAAGCTCTCTAGGGTGGGGATCCTTGACAGTTCTGTTTGACGATTCATTTGACACATTTGAATTTGATTTGAAATTTTGTGGATTTGTCAGTCTTTACGGAGCTTATTTTATGTTATTTATTATTTATTCTACTACTGATAGTTGTATAAAGGTAGTAAATCTAGATGGAAATTGTGGCAGAACATAAATTAACAGTGACACTATCGCGATTTATCGAAAAAGACTCTAAAATAGTTGGTTGTTTAGCGTGCGGTAGATCTCGGCAAAAATTGAGTGAATAATGAAACAACTTTTCGCTAGTAAGTGACTATATAATATACATACGTGTAGTAAACCGATCATTTATGAAATTCACTTAAATTAACTAAATTATATATTTTTCTTGCATTTTAGCTTTTATTTATTACTTGTCAAAGATTAGATGTCAAAGAATTTAGATACGTTAATTTGACTTACCTGCTTCAGTAGCGTATCGGATGTTTGTGTTAATAAATACTTATTATAACTTATCTATTTTTATTAGAATTATATATTTTTATTACAATTTTAATAACTACCAACATTTATTCACAACGTCAAATAAAACAACAAATTATTGAGTCTACCCTACGGCTACCCTACATCATAGTTTTACATTTTTTAAATAAAATTAGAACGACACTGATAAACCGGAATTTAAGTCGGCCATATTTGAGGCCCATCGCGGTGTACCTAAGATTTTTGATATGCTCCTTCCTTAGTCTTCTTATTCAAAGGTTTTACCTGTTTTGAGGAGTAATAACTTTTTGTACGTCCCTATATACACTACTGAGTAAAAAAAATATACATTTGTGCCTTTTTCTATGTAAAAATGACTGTTGGTAAAAATCGCTGCGAGCAACCGTTCTCGAGGTATTTGGATTCTTAATAATCAATACATATCATCAATGAAAATAATTAAAGATTTTCACTTGAAAGTTATAAGTCGGTCATGCTTTCGGGGAATGATAGAGGACGGCGAAATATTAATTTTGATATAGCACACTATGGGTCAGAAATGCCTCTTATGCAAGATACAGGATGTTAAAGCTTTTGAAAAATTAAAGATATTCTTTAATAGTTTTTTAACAGTTGAAGGTATTGTTATAAAATTTTATTATAGGAGTCTAGTGGCGTACTATTTTTTTTAAAATTACCCGATGCGTATCACATCTACGCCACTGGTTGAAACTAAAACCTCTTCTTTTTACATTTAAAGTGTCTCTGTTAGGTAAACTCCTATAATAAAATTTTATAACGATACTTTCAACCGTTAAAAAACTATTAAAGAATATCTTTAATTTTTCATACACCCTGTATCTTGCGTAAGAGGCATTTCCGATCCATAGTGTGCTATATCAAAATTATTATTTCGACGTCCCTCATCGATCCCCAAAAGCATGACCAACTTACAGGAATCACCCTGTATATATCTTTTACTCAGTAGTGTAATACAGGGACGGACGAAAAGTTATTACTCTTCAAAACATTTAAAAAATATGTAGGTGGCGCCCCCTACAAGTAGGAGTCATATTGACATCGAAATCAAATTTCTCATGTCAAAAAACACCCAGACACCAATTTTCACCTAAATATCGATATTAGTTCAGATATTATTTGAAAAAAATCGAAATAAAAATGAAAATTCTATACCCCGTACCTCCGAAACGAAGCATTTTAGAACATAAATTTATACGAGCTTTTTATTTATTTTTATCGGTAGAATATGCTGCTGAAGTTTCCCAAATACAATTTGGACCACCCTGTATATCTAGAGTACTGCAATTATCTCCATTGTGATTCGATATAGAGGCGCCAAATTTAAAAATATAACAATATTAATTTCTAAATAGGGAAAAATATATTTTTTAAATAATGCTAGAAATATACAATTTTCGTAAAAAATCACAAACCGAATTTACTGAGAAAACAGAGAAAGTCATAATTTTACAGTTCTCTCACAAAATAGCATAGCGAGTCGCTGAAATTCAGTAATATGGAAATTATTTAAAATCTGTGAGGTCAACATCGACGTTTAGCGTCGACGTCTCAGCACTACAAGGACCTCCAAACAGCGCTGGTGCCGTACTACACGTGATGCTGTATATGAGGATAATATACCACGTGACCTGAGTACATAATAGTTGATAGTTTAATTTTGATCTCATCTATTTATCCTTGTTTATAGCATTCTGCATGTAGCACTCTCTTTGCAGATGCTTTAGAAGTTTTAGTAGCCTTATACAGGGTGTCCCAGAAATGAGTGCAGATATTTTCAGGGGTGGTAGATCTGGTTTCTCTTTACCATTTTTAAAATAAATTGAAAATAACCGAGTTATTTAACTTTGAAAATTTAAAAAAATAATCGCAACATTTTGAGAACCGCCGACAACTACATCCAATTACCCGGATCAAGCCCGGATTTCAGTTAATTCGACGCACTGTGTTGCCATATGGACAAGAAAGTATATATTTACAAGTAAGTCATAAAATCACAACACCTGAGGAGTTTGCAGAGATGCATTACATTTTTAAGATTGTGATATTATTACATAAAATAAATTAAAAGTTAAATGTTTAAAAGTTAAATTAAAAAACTTACCCAACATTAAAAAAGATACTTATGACAGATCGATGTAACTGCGACAGTTCTCTTTTTCGATACACACTTAACTAAAATACACTTCATTGTGCTGCTTTACTTGTACGTGCTATTATAAAAACTGCTAAAATAACAGTCCCCATTTTTAACTTGACACATTATTTTCATATAGGCTTCATCACAATTTGAACCACTGATTTACAAAACACCTTGAAAAGCACACATTACACATTACTTTGAATATCTTTCTGAATGAATAAATGTTGAGAATTATTGTCTCTTACCGCCACTTTACGAACTACTTTCAATCTAAGAAAATACATGTTTCACTCAACAATTTTAAATACGTATTTTGTTTTTTCGCTATTTTTTCGATGTATTTCGACAATTCCGTCAACAGCCCAACCATCGGCCAAGACAGCCACGCATCACTGGTTGGTAACTGCTCACTGCTTCTTTGTCGCGCCGGCGTGTCGAGCTTGCGTCATGCGAGGTTGCCGTAGTTTCAACAATTTCAAATTCAAGACACTCGAAGCGATCAAATTCTTATTAAATTTTAAAAATGAAACAGAAAAACATGAAAGGAAACAAACAAAACACAAATGAATTGATTATTGATAAGGTCACAAAAAAGGAATTTCTAAAATGTTTATCGTAATTCAGAATTCAATATATCGAAAACAGCCCGACGAATAATCAATTCATTTTCGTTTTGTTTGTTTCCTTTCATGTTTCTCTGTTTTATTTTTAAAATTTAATACAAATTTGACTGCTTCGAGTGTCTTGAATTTGAAATTGTTGTAACTACGGCAACGTTGCTTAACATCGTCCTCTGACGCAAGCCTGCCACGACGGCGCGGCTCAAAGGACCAGTTCACACGTGGCACTCTTGGCCGACGCGCGACGGCTGTCAAAATACATCGAAAAATAGCGAAAAAACAAAATACGTATTTAAAACTGTTGAGTGAAACATGTCTTAGATTGAAAGTAGTTCGTAAAGTGGCGATAAGAGACGGTATTCAAAGTAATGTGCGCTTTTCAAGGTGTTTTGTAAATCAGTGGTTCAAATAAAACAGAAACATGAAAGAAAACAAATATTGAATTCTAAATTACGATAAACATTTTAGGAATTTCTTTTTTGTGACCTGGTTGTGAATAATATGATGAATCATTTTCGTAAACGTCATAAACGTAATGTTTTAGTTAATTTTCGGTGGTTTTTGTTAAGTTTTCATTGAAAGGGTAAGTACTACAAATAATTAATTTGTTTTTTTCTATAATAATTATTAATAATGAACACTGATAAAAATTTAACATTCCTAATTTTTGAGTAGAAATTTTTCTATGAATTTATAAATGTAGAACTATGTAGAATGTGGATAACATAGGAGGTTGCAACACTGCAAGGTTTAGATACACCGTAGAGAAATCTCAGGTGAATAAACAAGTGGCACTAAAAAGTTTTTTCAAATTTCGCGGAAAATGTCAAGAAAAATTTTAAATTTTCAACATTTTTTTTTTCGCAAAAAAAACTCATAGGCGTGTTTCTGGGGTTGAACTATACTACCAGTTAAAATATTTGCACTTATTTCTGGGACACCCTGTATAGGAGAGTATTACTTATATAGTTATATAAGTATAGATATAAGTAAACTTTTGACTAATTTTTTTATTATATAAGTTATTATATTCCTTAAGTTAATTGTAGGTATTAGTTCCTAATGTTTTTAAAAGTTACTTCGATAATGTAAGAATTAACAATTTTAGGGAATTTCAATAGACTTTGAAATTTTCAAGAAACGATAAAACAGTAACCTTTAAAATAATCAATATAAAACTTTTTATTTAAATATCTGCATATTAATTTTTAACAAGTTTTTATGTCAATTTTTAATAAATGTAACCGTTTTTTTGTAAATTTTATTTATATGATCTCAATTAACATTAATTAATGGTTAATGTACGGTGTTATTAATTACATAATGAGTTCCTACGATATTTTTAATACTTTTCTACCAACATTACAAATGTACTTTGTATTTTATTGATGTGCTATATATTAATAGTATTAATATAATGCTATTTAATTTTTATTTAAGTGGTATTTTTGTATTTTTTGTCGTGATTTGTGTTCTCTTATCTTACGCTTACAGTATTAGATCCATTTTTTATATACACATAAAATAAATATTGTTATAAATTAAACAGGTTTTATTTCAATATATTTTACTCCTAACCGTTAAATTAATGTCAAACTTGTAAAAATTTCGGCAGATAATTATATATAGTCATCTAAGGTATGTCCATATATACAGATTGTTAACTGGACGGTTACTTATTGGGGAACCGAATGGCAACATTGCCTACATTCCAAATGAGTATAGTAAACGCCACGAATGTTTGGGAGTGATTTATCGCTTGATGAAGTTAGAATCGACACGCGCTCTATCATTTTTACATTAAAAATGTAATTTTTTACCGCAGACGTGGGTTTTTAAAGGCCCGGTCTAATCATCTGTCTGCGCTCCTCTCCTACTTATTCTAAAATTTTAGGGTGATTGACAAAGACGATACTATATCACGTTTCTTTGATTGATTCGTTTTTGTGCGTCAGTCCCTTGGTGTGCTTGCAGTGCGACCAATGGGGCATTCTACTTTATATTTATAACCAAATATATGTTTTGACAAGACTTTGACAGTTTGCAGGAATCCTTTTTTAAGTAATTTGTTACTAATAAATATTTTTGTAATATTCGTCAATAATAATAAATTTAAATTTCATGCACAAAAACATAAACAACAGATTATATATTGATTATTATATGACTTGAAACACCACGGCACTGGAATTAAGTTTTATGTGACCTTGAACAGATTAGTTCACATGGTAGCGACCGATGAATCACTCCCAAACATTCGTGGCGTTTGGTGGCGTTTACTATACTAATCCAAGCTGCCGACTCGTCCCATCGCGTCGCGTCGTCTCTCGACGAGCGGGCCGAGGTTGCCATATTTCAACCATAAAGCTCTTGCCGCGAGTAATAAATAAATTATCAACCTGTATATTAGAATATATGATTAATATCGCATTTACCCAATGAGTTGAAAGTGAAGCCAAAGAAATTAAATAGGAATATCAATCTTGCATAAACTCTAAATATTAATTTAAAATTTTCTGTAAACAAAATGACAGATAACTTTAGTGCTATAACTAAAAATAATAAAGACTATGTTTAGTACTAATTTTATTCAACAATTAATTATGTTAATATAGGATTACAGTTGGCATAAAAAGCTTTACATTTTAGTTTACAGAACACTTGAAGAATATACATGGTGGACTAGTTATTTTTATTAGCGAGACATTATATTACCTCTGTTTTTTTTTCGATCGTATGGCGTATATTTACAATATACCATATCAGTAACAGAAAGTCTTGGGTCGTTTATTACTCTATATTGACATAAAATTGTCTTGGCATTGCCCTGCTCCAAAATAAAACAAAACAAAGATCACCTTTTATTTTACATTTCTATATACGTCATCCGGATATTCGATGTGGAAAAGCATACTGTCTTAACAAACTTCTGGCTGTTTCAGCATGTCCTAAATCACCAAAGACATAAGAATGCAATAAATTTAAAAACTACGGAATTTTCTAACTTATCAAAGTATTTAAATCCAACCAATAAATTTAATATTGTATTGTCGCATATCGGATCCATGAAAATCCGTCTTAACTGACACTTACCTAGTTGTAATTCGATGTAAATCACCAACATGATAATGTGAGCTGGCACTTGACAGTCGGGGGTGCGCAATTGCCAGATCTGTTTCAAAATACCGGAAGCTTGGTCGAACTGGCCTCTGATCGTTTTACACACTGCGATGTTGTACTGCATAACGGCTTGCACGCTGGCAACGTTGGTTGGAAACCATTCTAAAAGTTACATTTTATAACGGTAGCAAAGTGGTCCCATGGTACAAAGAATACAAGGTATGATCGATAGCGGCTCCAATTTCGTTCAGTTCGCGCATACCACCTGTGACGTCACTAGGAAAATAATGAATAAATAAAAAATAAAGAAAGTTGACAGGAGATCTGCATTTTTGGGGTTATGGTTAAAAATTGTTTATTTTTAAGACTTTTTAGTTCGTTTAATTTAATAATTACTAAAACCAGCAGTTCCAAAAATATATTTAAAAATAATAATTATCTATTAACATGGATTTGGACGATAATAGGTAAGAATACTAAATTTATTTCTATATTCGGTATAAAATTGTTTATTAAGTTTTTAGTTTGCGATGTTTATGGTAAATAATTTTCATGTTCATTGCCTCTGAATTCACATGAGGACAGAGATGAGGATATCTATGGAAAAGTAACCACAAGAGGAATTGTTACATCATTTAAAAAATGTTGGGAAGTTGAAGTTTCCCATCGACAAGTAGAAAATGCCAATGCAGATGGATGTATTGTAATTGTGATAGAAATAATTCCAAGGGTGAAGTTTATTATAATTAATGACCTGTGCTTCTTTTTATATGTAGATGTTTCAGGTTTTGAGAATAAATCGGTTGAACAAAACCCAAAATTTAGAGGAAGTATTTGCATACCCAGAATATGCCCATCAAGGAATATATATAGCTCAAATTTCCTTTAATGGTAGGCAATTATTGAAAGCAAATTAACTTTTTAAGTGAATAAAATATTAAATAGTTTACAATATGATATATCACTAAAAATATATTACTTTTAGGTACAATTAGGGCCCGATACATTTCAAAAAGTAGAATATTATTTTATATTAAATGAGGTATTGTACCAACAATCAATTTATATTAATACCGGAGATTAAAAAATAACAGAATAAATAGTTCTTTTTTTTATACTACAAAAATAAACTATAGAATACAACAGTATTTAAAAAATAAATAAAAAAGTTATGTCCCGGCCGAGATTCGAACTCCGGTCTCGCTTCCTAGCCCACTCCTTACGCACTGCTCCACAGTAACTTGCTTAGCGATAATTCAATGACGGTATATAAACAAAAAAAAACAGATTTATAACAATATCTTGACGATTTGAACTGGTGCGCGGAGCGTGCTTACCAATAGCGCCTGTTATCACCTGTGACGTAGCGACCAACCTGCGCAATATCATACCTTGTATTCTTTATACCATGAGGTGGTCCTATAAGGGTTCTGTTTTTTTTGAGGTATGGAACCCTAAAAAATGCCCTGTATAACGTAGCTTACTTGGAGGTGGATTGGTTTTAACTTCATTACTGTCACTGTTCTCCAATCCGGAAAATTCGAAGGTAATATCTTTGATATTCTCCGGATTTAAATGTTCCAACGCTTCCGGAATCTTGTCTAATAGAACTAGGCATTCGGCTGAATACAAGTGTCCCAGCAATCTATAAATTAATATAAAACTCAATACGGTATATAAAGTGTGTCCCGAAAAACTGACTAGGTACAGAGTGGGTCAAATTCGACGCTTTTAAATGGAAACACCCTTTTCTATAGGACTAATATCGGTGTCTGGAGCTCAATTTTCATCAAAAACATGATGGTGAAAACCGCACATCAATATCTGTTACCGTTTCGGAATTACGGGGTGTTTTTCAAAAATGTGCATTTTTAACAAATCGCTTACCGTACCTTTTTTGCTATGGAAAATTTTGTATTTCTATGAAATATTTATATTTCCAAAGCACCTTTTTACGTAGAATTTAATGATTTAAGTATAATTTTTTTAAAATTAATAATTTAAGAGTTATCAACAGAAAAATTGATTTTTTATTTGGGACACCCTCTATATTTTTAATTAACTGAAAAGAATTTAAAATTACCTTTCCAAAAATATAGCACACTAGATATTTTGTTATAATCCCCTTCAAAATACAGAATTTTTTAAAGTTCGCCACTTTTAACTAGTAGGCTTTGGACCCCTTATTGATGATACGCCCTTAATGGAACTGGAAAACATATTTTTCCAGCAAGACGACGCACCGCCTAAGAACGCTGAAGTTATCAGCAAATTTTTGCAGCCAATTTCAAGAATAATTGAATAGCTAACCAAGATCCCAGCCGTTGGCCGTCGAGGCCGCCTGACTTAGTGCCCATGGATCTAATCCTATGGATATATTTGCGCAAGAATAAAGGTTCCTTATTCTTCCGTATAATCTACACAAGAATTAGAAATACTTAGCAGTTATGAGATGGTATCTTTCATCCCCACTGAGTTAATGAATTCCGCGAGAAATGTTTAAAAACTGCCCCGTCTGACCATAACAGAAGACGGTCGATATGTCGAACACCTGTAGGAAAATCTCATGTCTTGGTTTGCTATTTATTTTATTGTTATTAGATATAGTTTAAATGTGTTGATGTTGGTTAAATATATTTTAAATTGTTATAAAACTCTGTATCTCTCATAGCAAATATTATTTTCCTTTTAATTGATGCTTACAGCTAGAATTTTTTTGCATTACAGCCGGTGCCGTTCAAAGCCTACTTATTTAAAGCGAGCGAATTATTATATACTCTATATCTCGAAGAGGAATCGAGCAAAAAATCAAGTGTGTTATATTTTTGGAAAGGTAATTTTAAATTCTTTTCAATAAATTAAAAATATACAGGGTGTCCCATATAAAAAATCAAATTTTCTGTTGATAATTCTTAAATTATTAATTTAAAAAAAATTATACTTAAACCGTTAAATTCTGCGTAAAAAAGTGCTTTGGAAATGTTTTCATAAAAATACAAAATTTCCCATAGCAAAAAAGTTACAGCGATTTGTTAAAAATGCATATTTTTGAAAAACACCCCGTAACTCCGAAACGGTAACACATATCGATATGTGGTTTTCACCATCATGTTTTTGACAAAAATTGAGCTCCAGACACCGATATTAGTTTTTGTCTATCTCCTATAGAAAAGGGTGTTGTTTCCATTTAAAAGCGTTGAATTTGACCCACCCTGTACATACCGGGTGCGTCTCAAAAGTGGCTCACCCCTATAACTTTTTTATTTTTTCAGTTAAAAAAACGAGATTTGGTATGTTAGTATATGTATGACATAAATTAGGATTGATTGACGTATTCAATTGTTTTTGGTCACTTCCTGTTTCACCAGAAATGACTACAACTTTTGATTTTTATATGGCACCCTCGATATTTTTTTCTTTATTCAATAGAAAATAATAATCTGAATAGAATGACATATTATATGTCAACTTTTGACATTTCGCATATGGTTTATTTGAAATTATAACTTGCGGTTCCTAACGAAAATTTGACTCGAAATACCAAGTGTGTGGTATCAAATTAATCGTAAAAAAATGCTTTTTCGAAATACACGATAGACGATCAAATCTATTTTTCCAAGGGTCCTTGATTAAGAATTAGTGTTTTTAACATAGCCATGGCACTCTAGATTGAATTTTAAAATACGATTTTTTATTAAGCGAGAATGTCAAAAGTTGACATATGATAGGTCATTCCAGTGGCGCATCCAGAGAATGAGTCTGGGAGAGGTAGTGGCAATATTTAAATAAAGTAATAGATTTATTATATATAGTATTGTGACTATATGGAAAAAATAAAGTTAGACTGTTCTGGATTTCTATTTTGATTGACATTATTAATTTATTTTGTGACAATTCTATTTTATACCAGATTTTCTTATTTATAAATTTCTTAATGGGAGGAGTAATTACCCCCATTACCCCTCCCGTATATGCGCCCCTGGGTCATTCTATTCAGAATGTCAGTTTCTATCGAATAAAGTAAAAAAAAAGTACCGAGGGTGCCATTTAAAAATCAAAAGTTGTAGTCATTTCCGGTGAAACAGGAAGTGAGTAAAAACAATTGAATACGTCAATCAATCCTAATTTATGTCATATACTAACATCCCAAATCTCGTTCTTGTATCTGAAAAAATTAAAAAGTTATAGGGGTTAGCCCCTTTTGAGACGAACCCAGTATAAAAAAATTAAAATTTGAAATGTTGGATTTTTTTTATTTAATAAGAACTTACTTATGCACGTTGGATATCTGCTCTTGTTCCAGTAATTCATTAGCATGTCTTAAAGCTATGATGTAATCTCCTAAGCACAATCCTACATAACTACTGGCCACCAAAATACTATTTTTAAGCATCTAAAATAAAATTATTCATCAATTAACAGAGAGTTACAATTAAGTATCTTCTATTATTATTTATGGTTGGTTCATACAAAATAAACTACAATAATTAAGGATAACATGACAATTTCAGTAATAAATGCACATTATTTTAGATTGTTATGGCCATTTTTAATTTTAAATTTAGTTTTTTGCCTCTCCTGTAAAGTCCCTCATACACTTCGGATATTTTGCCCGGTTTTAGTTAAGTAAAAAAAATATGGGTGGGCCACTTTTGAGACGCACCCGGTATAAAGATATATAGACTATCGGGCACACAAGAAAAGTAAACAAAAGAAAATTGACTCTTTAAGAGGGATGTTTCCACAAAACAATTAAGAAAGGTAATTTTAGAGCGGGCAGATCCACAGAAACTGCTCTGTACCAGTTAACTGAGCTAATACAGGCAAGCCTGGATAGCAAAGAAACAACACTTTGTGCCTTCTTGGACATTGCAGGGGCGTTTGACAATATACCTCACAAGGTAGTCAAGCGATCTCTTGAAACAAGAGGGGTGAACAGTACGATAATTCGCTGGTTTTGGGAAATGCTCTCAACACAAACAGCAGAGGCTGAGATAGGTACCAAAACTGTAGTTGCTAAAACAACGCAAGGAACTCCACAAGGTGGAGTGACCTCCCCCCTACTGTGGAGCTTGGTAGTGGATGAACTACTGGAAGAATTAACTCTAGCGGGAATACACTGCATAGGGTACGCAGATGACATAGTCATCATTGCACGGGGGAAACATGAAGGCACCCTGTGTGATATTATCCAAAGAGGACTCCGCATCGCTGAGAGATGGTGCAGGACTGTCGGGCTGAGTATTAACTCAGATAAAACCGCGGTAGTGCCATTCACCACAAAGCGAAGTTTGAAAAACTTGACGAGAATCCATCTAGATGGAAAGGAAATACTGCCATCACAGGAAGTGAAATATCTGGGAATAACCCTGGATAGTAAACTTCTCTGGAACAGGCATATTAAGAACATTACCAGCAAAGCCACAAAGGCTCTCATGATATGCAGAAGACTGGCGGGAAATAGGTGGGGCTGCGCCCCTAACATTTTGCGCTGGATGTATATCATGATAGTAAGACCCATGATTACTTATGGAGCAGTTGCTTGGTATACAAAACTAGAGCAACGTACAGCAAGGCAAAACCTGTGCAAAGTACAGATACTGGCACGTATCTGCATCACAGGTGCCATGAGAACATGTCCAACAGCAGCAATGGAGGTCATTCTAGACCTAACACCACTGCACATTGTCGTCGGTAGTTATGCCAATGCGACAATGATTAGAATGGTTACTGACGGAAACAGTACTGGGAGAATTTTCAGGTCAGAGGCTTGGAACACCCTCAAAAAGAAAATTCCACTTCTCCAACTCCCAGTGGATGACATACCAAGAATTTACAACTTTGAGAAACACCTCACCTCACTGTATTGAGTAATAAAAAAAGGATTGGAAGAAAGAAACGCTTACTCAGCATATAAAAGACCATACCATCACGTGGTATACTGATGCTTCCAAAACCAAAGCAGGGACAAGGATAGGAGTATTTGGGCCGAAAACTGAATACTCCGAACCAATGGGCACCTACCCCAGTATCCTTCAGACAGAAATTTGCGTTATCGAAAGATGCGTACTTAGATAGGAACTATCGAAAACAGGAAATTGCCATCCTATCGGATAGTCAAGCAGCACTTAACGCGATCAACTCAGTAACCATCAATTCGAAGTTGGTCAAAGAATGCCTAGAGAAGCTCAACAAATTAGGCAAAGAAAATAAAGTCCTCCTACTTTGGGTGCCTGCTCACCAAGGGATAGAAGGCAATGAATAAGCAAATGATCTAGCTAGAAAAGGAGCGAACTCTCCACTAACTGGACCAGAACCGTTCTGTTCTCCAAACGGGAACCAACTGAAAGCGGAACTGAAGAATCTGGAAGACTCCATCCGTAACTTGGAATGGGTGTCCTCCAACGGTCTAAGACACTCGAAAAAGTTCCTTAGAACTTATGACCGAGAAAAATCAAAGGTTTTCCTTGATTTAAGTAAAAACAAGCTTCGGATTGTCACGGGGTTTCTAACAGGACACTGTCTCCTCAACGAACACCTCAGTAAACTGAAACTGAGAAACAACGGCGAATGCAGATTTTGTGGGGAAAATGGGGAACACCAGAACACCTTATCATTGAGTGCGCCGAGACGACGACCATTCGTGCCATGAACCTTGGTACGTCTGATGTCGAGGATGGAGAGCTGGCCTCTGTGGAGCCGTCTCAGATACTGGCTTTTCTTAAAGCCCTGAGACTGTATGATGAGTTATAACTCGTTATAACTCAAGAAAGGGGAACACACAATAGATCTATAAGGTCGCGGTGATTAACTCCCCTCCTAAACATTCTACATTCTAATTTCTGAAGGAAGCTTGTTTAATAAATTAATATGCGTATCTGGAATACATCGTTCTTGTCTACGACGCGGGTAAATAAACTGGATAAAATGAGACAGTGTGTAGAAGTTAGAGGTGCTTGCCCGTGCTTTCTACCTGCGCGGTTAAAACCGAGCAAAATAACTGTACGTGTATGGTGGCCTTAACAGTTACGTCATTGTTCTTCCCGAACAGCGATATTATAAAAATAACATTTTTGACAATTTGGAATAAATTTTTACCTGAATCTCTTTAGCGCATGAAGGGCTAGAGGGGGCTAAACTAGGGCTGGGCGGTGGCGCGGCTGGTGTCACCCCTGGAACTAAAAATAACGGCACAGGAGGGATATCTGCCGCATCAGCAGGCAGCAGAAGTTTCGCATTTCGAAGACACAGCGAGGCAAATTCCAAGGATGGTACTGGAACGGCATAGGACTGGCTATCTACACTATAAAAACTTTATATTAATATACAGGGTGGTCCGAATTGTAATCGGAAAACTTCGACAACATATTTTGCAGATATAAATAAAAAAGGCAATTGTCAAAGAAGCTGGGCGTTTATTGTCACTTCTGCAGGGTTGCCAAATGTCCAGCCTTAGGGGAGGCAGTCCCGCTTTTCGTTAATCAGTCTCGATTTTTTAAAATTATTTCTCAATCATGCTTTTTAAACAAGTTGTTCCTCATTTCCCTCTTTTTCACTATCCAGCCATAAAAAGGGATTTTTCACTATTCATAATATTATTTCTATATGAAACAGACAGAGAAATATCAAGAATAAAGTAGATATAGGAAATATCAATATTTTTCCATTAGGAAATCTTGTTTCAAAAGAAAATTTTGTTTTTGTGCTAAGTTTTATCGTGGAGGTTGTTGATCGGCGATAGATGTCGTAAGTCGTAATACGGCGATAGATGTGTTGCTAACGCCATGTTAGCAACACTGTCCCGCTTTTTAATTATGAGTATCTGCCAACCCTGAACTTCTGTATTGGAAAATCATGTATGAAAATTGAAAATGCTATATATTTAGAGAGAATTCCTTGGTGATACTTTGCACATACCTGTATTTCTTATCTTTGGACATACTGTCTACCAAAACTACTTTTTGATCGTTTTTGGATCCAACTACTTCAACAATCAACTCTCTTTGTTTCTTCTTCAAATCGAAATCCACCTCGTTTGACTGCAACAGTTAAAATTAGCAAAATAAAACACTAATTCACCACAATATACAATATACAATACACCAACACACTTTACTTTTGCACTGAACGCGCGTTTCGCTAACCATGTTAGTTTTAATCATCTGCTGATGATGCTGACCAGTTAACAAAACGCGCGTCCGGTGCAAAAGTAAAATGTTGTGGTGAATTGTGTTTTATTTTGCTGTTATAACACCAAACTGAATATTGTAAATGAACAGTAAATTACTGAAATTACCCACTTACCTCTTTATGTACTTTAATACAACATTCAGCAATTCTGAGCCACAATCTAGAATTTCTATGATACCTCCTTACACATACAATTAAACATTCAAATGCTTGAGCAGCTCTGCCAGCATAGAGCAATGAAACGCCCAAATTATACATTAATTCGTGATATTTGGATCCTCCAATAGAATACAAATGTTTGTCGTCTAAAGAAATAGATGAAAAACAATAAAATGATTTTAAAAAATTAATACTATTATATATATCTCTCCACCTGCCTTTTTTCTGTAGACTCTGAGTGAAAATAATGTCTTCCTTTAAGGCTTTCTGAAAATGGTAACAAGCTAAATTGGGTTTGCCTAAGGTATGATGCAAAATGCCCATGTTATTGTAGTACATTATTTTAGATAATTCGCCATGGTCACTAAAATGAAGCAAATTACAAAATGTATTGATGTTTTATCAAAAATCTTTATATAATTACTTGTAATTTAAACAATCTTCTGGGATTTTGGACAATATATTCAATGATTCACTTATATTTCCTTTCAAATATTCTAAATTGGAAGCCATGAACAGTGCATCAATATTCTAAAACTCCCAAATCAGTATTTTACAGAAATTCATATTTATTACTTACAGATTTATCTTTTAGTAATATTTTAAGTTCTTTTGCAGCTATAGATATAGAATGGTTTAGCAAATAGCATCTGATTTTATATTTCAGCAATTTTTTCTGGATTTCTTCTGATATTGGTTTTGGACTAGGTAAAGGTAGCTAAAAAATTAAAAACTTAACTTTAAAAATTTCATCAAATTTAACCTAACTTACCTTCTTATCTTTTCCATTTTTATCTAAACCCTTCAGTGGTAAACTTCCACCGTATATTAAATTATTCTCTAAATAGCTTATTAATGTTAATGCTTTATCGGGCTGCTTCAAGCATAACTGCAATTCGATAGCAAGAAGACTGACTTGTTTTGCTAAATTATCTTCTACAAGAAAAATTGAAAACAATTAAAAAATACTAACTGTTTAGTAACATAATTTATACCCATTGGTTCAATAAATTTATACACCCTATCCATTATTCTCTGAGATGCCGTATATTGTTTCTGATGATACAGGATGACTGCTTGATTAAATTGTGCTATGCAATAATCAATTTCTTCCAACTTATCAACCTTAATTTTAAACTAAAGAAGCCAATTTTATATAAAAACATATCAATAAAAACATATAAACTCTTATATAATTTAAATATTACCTGATTACATACAGATGTCAAGTTTTTTTGAAACTGTTCTGTCTTTCGAAGATCACTTTTAAAATATTCGACTACAACTTTATTATGAAGTACTTTAAAGTCATTGGGTCTGTTAGTTTCGAGTTTATTGATATTCTGCAAACACGATAAATAGTTTTTCCTGAAACAAACGAGAATTAGTATTAAAAATTAAAACATTTTTTTTTAAATTGTATACTTTTTCAATTCCGTTAAAGCATTTAATGCCAAGTCCTTTTCTTGGTCTGATATTATGTCTGGCCCTTTGTCCTGATCTTTTTCAGTCATTTTGTTTGTTAAGATTTGTTAATATTATTAAAAATTTCAAAAACTACGGAGTGAAATTCATTCAACAGAGGTTATTAAAAAAAAGCAAAAAATAAACACTAGGTATTTACCATAGACAAATTATTAAATGTCAGGTAACTGTCATTATTAGTGATGTGCCAGAGACCGTGAAATATGATTACCGCTACTCTGAGCGTGAAACATAAATAATGTAATAACTTTTTTTATATATGACTTTTATAGACAGTTTTTTTTTATGCAGATTTCACGAAAGTGTGGTTATTTTGACAAGTTATTGATCATTAAAAGTGATTAAAAGACTATTGATTCATTCATTCAAAACAAAAAATAGTGTGACTCAAGTGAAACTATGATTGAAAAACTAGTATTTTTATATTATTAAATTATTTAAAAATGAAGAAACTCACTGGATCGTTCCGTTACACACAATGGGATCCCTGGCTGATAATATCCCAAATAATATCAGTGCAATGTATACTTTATTTAACTTTAAAAAACACATAATGTATTTAAGAAAACAGAAGAAATATGGCTTTGAATATAATATTTACATCATATTATCTCTATTACACCTCATACAAAGGAAAATTATTCGTAATATCAATACATAGTTTATTAACGTAGTTTTCATGTAGTTAATGAACGGGAAAAGACGTAGTTTTTTAAGAAAAACTACACGTAGTTAATCAGGTAAATTACGTCTTAATTAACTACTTCCGAACCCTGATTAAAAGTGATTAAAAGACTATTGATTCATTCATTCAAAACAAAAAATAGTGTGACTCAAGTGAAACTATGATTGAAAAACTAGTATTTTTATATTATTAAATTATTTAAAAATGAAGAAACTCACTGGATCGTTCCGTTACACACAATGGGATCCCTGGCTGATAATATCCCAAATAATATCAGTGCAATGTATACTTTATTTAACTTTAGGGTTTCTCTTGGTTGTGCTAGGCTCTTTAGTCGGAGATACACGAACTCTGGATCACATATTTGAATATCACGTACGCATATCACCTATACATTAATTTTTATTTATACTTGATTGCTACGATCGTTGTAGGAGATTCAAGTTCGAGATACTGGCGGCAGAATTGTTATATCAGCGTTTGTAATTAATTCACTTCTTGGGTAAGATTTAACGAGATATATAAAAAAATAAAATGTATCAAATAATGATTTTTAGGTCTGTTGTATTATGGTACATAGTGGAACGTACGAAACAGTGTATGGATTTCAGTTCTACTTGGCATCTGATTCATCTAGTGATTTGTTGGTTTTACAATGGCCAATTTCCAACGACCTTTTCATGGTGGATATTAAATGTTGCATGTGCAACTATTATGTGCGTTTGTGCAGAATTTTTCTGCTTAAGGACAGAACTTGCAGCTATACCGTTATCATTAGGCCCTAAAACTGATCTGTGAATATACAGTTCTCACTGTGATATACATTTTCTTGTAGAAATGTCAGGTTGTCATGATTTTACTCTTAAAGCCCAGAAATTATTTATTTTAGCGAAGACATTTGTTAGTTTGATAAATATAGGGAAGTGAATAAAAGTTGGTGTGCTCATCATTAAAATGACTATTACCAAATCAAATTTCTAATAAATAGAAATACATTTGAAATTTAGAGACACATTGTTGCATCAAGCATCAAGTTAACAATTGTTCTAGTAAGTATTCTTTGACAAATTTGAAATGAAATTTGCATTTTGTTTAGTTAAAACTGCGATTTTCGTTGCCATAAAATCTGAAAACTAGTAAATATTCGCAATTAGCAACTTGTCTCTTCTCTGCTCAATTATTTTAAACAAAAAAGAGATCATAGTGACACCCTTTGGCTGTTAAACTGCATTAGAAAGGTAAAAACTGATATTATTGCATAAGTTTTGCAGCTTTTATAGAAAATACATAGATGTTTTAATGATAACCAATCAATCAGAACTTCACATTTTTCAGCTTCCATTCACTAAACATCCAATAATTTCATTCAATTATAATTTGTTTGTGTAATAATCATAGAAAAAGATGTACACATAAAAATGTGTTATATGTATTGTGTTTAAAATTACATTAAAAAATCAGTGCCAAAATGACGTGCACCCCAACCTTTATCAATTTTTTCCCCAATAATTTTTTAAATAACTGTATGAACAATTCTTATTACTGACACTCTCAGTCAATATTATTTATGCTAAACTGAATTCCTCACACTTCTTTAGGTAATAACAAAACATTATATTTTTATATTAACAAAAATCAATATTAACTTAATATTAACAAAAAAAAAGTATGTATTATATAAAAACATTTAATAAAAATCTGTTAAGACATTAATCAAATTCCATATTCTGTTCCCCTTCACTCTCTTCCAACTCTTTATCCCAGTCCTTCATTTTCGTACTCATCATAAAGTCATCTCGTAGAACATTCCACGAAGGCTTCTTTGAATTACTTGTATTCTCATTTGTGGCCGCTATTTTTTGAACATTTTCTGATTTTTCACCCATAAGCACATCCAAGAAGGCCCTTTTATCGATATTCTTCAATACTCTGTCTTTATGAACCTCTAAAGGTCCCGCTTCATCCAACTTCCTACCAATATCTTTTTGTTGCAGTTTGACAGCATTAAACAATTGTACCACTCCCTTTGTTGCAATTTTCTGCAATGTTCTCTCTCTGTCCTTTTCCAAAATATTCGGTTTCACTCTCAAATTTGGAAGCTCTCTTCTCTAAAATACAAAAAATTTTTATATAGGTATTTGATGATGCATATTATACATACACGTTTCCTTGCAATTGTTTCTTCTTCTACTATTTCTTCAGTTACTTCTCTTTTAAACTGACCATCGGAAGTGGCTATTTCGAAGTTCTCTACTTTCGTTTTTGTCTTTTTTACATCGGTTAACTTCTTGGCTTTCGATAATACCAGAGATTTTTTGCCTTTAGGTTTATTCGTATTTAAAATTTTAGCTATCGAATCTGCCCAGGCCTCGTTCAAAGATTGACTTACATTATCGGCTGAATCGTTTTCTAAAGACTCTGCATTTGATTCAACTTCAGAATCAGAGTCGCTTCTAGAATGAACATCGTCTGGAAATGAAAGTGTTCAGTTAACTGCAAGCAATAATGAATATCATAATACCTTCTACTATAACTTTAGCTTTTTGAGATTTTACAGTCATCTTGATTATTCAAAATGCTCAAAATTAAATTATTATTTTATTTTCTCAGAAAATCTGACTTTATCCTAACCTTTCTTTATTTGAGATATTTCCAAAGATATAGAGGTAGGATATATGACTTATGCTTATGCCCAGGGTTGGGATTTAATTTTTATATGTCTTTAGCAGTATTTGATAGTCTCGTTTGTATCTACTCTTTGGTATTGTTTACTTTTAAGGCTACAACTTCCAGAGCTATCCGATCGATTGATAGAAAATAAATCTTGTGTACTAAATTCTCCCTCAAAATATTTTTTTAATACAAAATGAACATCGAGTAAGTGAAGTAACAGTTAAAAATACCGTATGATCGAGAAAAAACGGCGTCAACGATGGCTATGAAATGAAGATCGCTGTCATTTTATATGGGAAATGTCATCGATCGTCATTTCCCAGCCAACTGGACGCCATTTTTTTTCGATCATACGGTATAATTAACAATTGCAAAAACAAAATAAACATAAAAAGTAAGCACAGAACTACTCAGATCACTTTATTCATACAGAAAGCTAAGAAAGTCATATTAATTTAATTAAAAAATGTAGTCTCATTTAATACCATGAATTTAATTTCCTTCTTCCCTGTTATAAACTTCCATAATTTTCTCCATTATTTCCCAATGTTTATCCTTCTGTAAATCTTTCACAAATACAGAATACCAAGCTTCATCATCCAGGTCGTCTATTAAAGGTAATTGTACACCGTAGCACTGCAGTGCCAAAGAAATACAAGATATCGCAATATGCTGGGGCTGATAGTCTAATACTGCTGGGTCATGGTGAAAATCTTGTAAGAATGCTGAAGATAATTTTGCTATAGGAACTGATTCAAGAGTATTTTTACCCAACCTAAAACATAAACTGACTGTAACATTATATATAAAACTAATAATTACGAAACTATCTTACCAACTTTCCATGCTTTTCAAATAATGCAGCATATACTTATGAGGGTGAACAGTATTTGCCTCAAATTTCAATACTCGCATGATTAACAATTCGGCTTGAACAATCGCATCTCTCATATTCCAGTATTCGTCACCGATCTCCAGCGGACTTGAACCTCTGTGAAGAGTATTGTGGGCGACATTGATAATATCACGAATATTTAATGGGTCGTCTTTTATTTTACTTGCTAAGTATAGTGATGATGCGGCAATAAGCTGTAAAATAAATCAAACATAACAAATTTGACAGAATTCAAATCGTCTTAGACAAACTTACAAACCAATCATAACTGTTATGATCAACTTCTTTGAAAAATCTATGAACTATAACTGCTGCAGTTGCTAAAGTTAGAGGTTGTCCATTTAACTTCATGCCGCATTCAAATATAAACCTTGCAGGAGTAAAACCTCCTTTAAAATCCAACTGCCTGTAGTCTACAGTAACTAGTCTGCGGGACTTTTCCCTTTGTAGTTCCATGACATCAATAACGTCTTTCATTTTGTATTTTACTGTTTGCTGCAAAACGTACATATAAATAATGTAAAGCCTTATATCACAGTTAACATATAATAGTATTTTATCTGTTCTATATATAAAAAAACAATATTACAAACTAGGCATTTCAAACCTAACCTTTGATTTTTTTAACAAAACTTCTGGTAGAGGTTCTATACTAAAATATAAAAATGCGGTATACCAAAAATGATTTTACCTATTCAAACAGTATCAAATAAGGATAATATCAACCAATTCCTTTTTTATTCAATATTTTTCCAAAAACTTTTAAACAATTTTAGTTGTCACGTCTGGTAAAAAATCGCTCCTAGCTAGGAATGTTTTTCAGTATCGATATAACTGATAAAATATCGATCTTTTGCATTGATCATATATCAATACATAATTGTCACTGTCGGGTCCTTTGTCAAGATTGTAAACAGTGATATAGAGAAGTTCAAGAAGAGGATATACCTTTAAATCATAGAATAACTAACTGAATTATCGAAATCTTTTAAACCATAAAAAGTTGCAGTATTTGTTTTGGTACAAATATAACTAATTTTTTTTAGATCACATATAAATAGTAAATATTTTATATATGATCAAGACGTATGACATTTAATATTTATCTTGATTCTGTGGCTTTCAAACTTTTAAAAGAAGAAAACTGTCAAAATATTTAAATTTGAAAAAAAGTAAACAATACAGTTACAAAAAGTCTGAGAAAAAGTTATCTTTGCAAAAAATACAGAATGGAAAACAGTCCGTTGAGAAAAAAACCGAAGATGGGTAAAAATTGTCTTGTTATTTAACATCAGTTATTACAAATATGAATCAATTTTAGCATCTTCAGCAGAAGAAGTCAATAATGAGCTTCGCATTCTTAATAACATATACCTAAACACTCCAAATATTATAGAACAATTACATTCTATTGAATTCGAAGCCTGGAAAGAGTGTTTAGAACGTGTAGAATTCAAACTTCCTGAAACAAGTAATCTTGAAATTCCTGATGTGGACAAAGTAATAAAAAAGTATGAAACTGATTTGAAAGAACTAGTAAGTGAATTTGTTTTAATAGTTATTTTTATATAATCTTCTTGGATACTATTTCAGAATGGTAAAGTTAAAAACATGTGTGATCACATACAAATTTTAAATATTTTGAAGAAAAAACAGAAATGCAAGATATCACAACTGGTGGATGGAATTTGATGGTTTGCAAACTCAATATATATATTGAATAATTTTTTCTATATTAAAGAAGTAGAAATCTTGTTGTCTTATTATTTAATCTACATTAATTAATAGCTCTATAATATCTTCAGTTCGTTGTATATAATTGTCAAACAATTCAGTCTTGGAATTAAGCCCTAAAAAAGTGATATAGGTATAGTTAGTATAAATGTAATATAATTATATAAATTATCGAGTAAATGTGTTGTATATTAAATATTGCATATATAATTCTTTATGTTATAATTAAGGGATCAGTATTAGATTTGTAGAAAACTTAAACTTACAGTAAATATAGGTACGATTTCCATTTCATTTTCTTGTTTTATTAAAAGGGAGACCAGAAAAATGATTCTGTTCTGTAACAAAAATTATTACATAAAAACAAAATACGTACATTTCCCTTTTTACACAAATTTTTACTGTAATTAAATTCAGGTACCTACCTTATGTATTACTTCATTAATAAATGTTTCCTGTACTTTTTCGTAGGGAATAAATGTTTTATTTTCCTTTATAAAGCTTCTTTGACCTATCTGGTATCCAAATCCTTTTATAACTTGTAATTCTTCTAAAATGAAAAATACAAGGTTCATAAATAAGAGTAATTTAGTTGCGAGAATATTACCTGTTGTCACTAAATTAATAATGGAATATGTTAAATATAATAGTATTATTAATCCTAAACTTATGCTAACTGTATTTGAACATATTAACAATAACAAATTTATCAAAAGAACAAGAAATGCGCTAATATAATACATAAAAGGTATGTTTTTACTTATCGATATTCTCAGATATCCATTACTTTTTTTAATATCAAATGTTAGATTTTGGCCGTTTATGTTAGAAAAATTTGAATTGTTTTCATCCATAACAAAAATCTAATTTTAAAAAGCACAGCAGTCCTACATAGCATACTTGTATGTATAATTGGAATAATATATTTTTTCTAGCTATCCCAGGCTATCACATCCATCAACTTTTAAAAAATTTTACAGCTAAAATAAAAATAACGTTCAATTTCTTTGACTACATCAAGCACGTTTGGATTAATCACGATGATCACAATCACGTTAGGATTTCACAGAATAACTAGGATCTCAGATTAATCAAGCAAAACAAAAAATAACCTCACCTTATGTACCTAGTAATTAATAATCACAGCATAGAGATTAGATTTACACGTTGATTACAAATTCAGGAAAAAAGAATCATTGTTATAAGCTTAAGGTTATAAGCAATACAAAATTATTTAACAAATACTATTCTCCAATACAAGATAATCGGCAAATTTGTTGACACACAGTATCTGTAAATGTAATTTAAAAATACCGCGTTTTTTTTAAATCAGATGCCAAATCACAGAATAGTCGTTGTAAATCTGTGGCTTTTTTTAATTTCCGATTTTTTTTTCATATTCGGACTTTTGTTTCATATACTTTATTTAAAAATAGTTTTTATTATTTAAGTCGCAATATCAAATGAAAATTAGAAAAAGTGTTAAAAATAAAACGATTTTGTAGTAGTTATATAAAATTATATAAAAGGCAGTATTTAATAATTTGATATTAAACATTTGTATTCAACTTTCGCGGCTAGATGTATGCGCAACGGATAAGCGCTTTCGTTTTCTCTTGTTGTGGACGGTAACTCCATCTACGAGCTACGTACTACGAGCGTTGTTATCGTTGTTATGATTCAATATGGCGACCGTAGTTTTGTGTTACTCATTTTAATGAAAAAAAGGAAAATTTGTTTGATTTCTTCGTTAAAAAATCGAAATTTTGCATTTACTCGATTCTTTCGGACTTGTATGAGTGCGCGAATTTATTCTAGAACGTACGAATCGGTGTTTAATAAAAACTCCTGCTAAAACAGTGTATTAGAAATTATACACAAAGGTTGTGATTTTTAGACCAATATTATAGAAATATTGGGAGATTTGATATAATAAACTGGCTAGAATTTACTTAAGGAAGCGACTATCTGTAAGCGAAAGCCGGCAACTTTAGTGTTTATATAGGAAAAAGTAAGTTGACACAATATTGTTTGCAATTACCTTGATCTCATACATTATGTCACTTTTTCTCCTGTTTATAGGCGTAATGTGGGAAATTTGCCAGTATAGTGACAAAGATTAAACAAACCTCCAGTCATGACAGATACAAGACGCAGAGTTAAGCTATATGCACTAAATGCAGACCGCCAGTGGGATGACAGGGGAACGGGACATGTATCTTCATCTTATGTGGATCGGTTGAAGGGTATATCACTGTTGGTGCGCGCAGAAAGTGATAATTCTTTACTGTTAGAATCCAAAATTCAGCTTGATACGGCTTATCAAAAGCAACAGGACACTTTAATTGTATGGTCGGAGGGTGATAATTTTGATTTAGCTTTAAGTTTTCAAGAGAAGTTGGGTTGTGATGAAATATGGGAGAAAATATGTCAGGTTCAAGGCAAAGATCCATCAGTGGAAATTACACAGGTAAGTTTTTTATTTCATAAATTAACTTGATATATGAAATAAACCATTAAGACATGATATTGAAGAAAAATGTCATATTTTGGCTCATATATTCTGTGGATTTTAATATACAAATTTTTATTTTATGTTAAAGCATACCTATTGAGAAAAGAGACAATTTTAATTGAAAACTAAGTCTGGGTCTACATACATTCATAATGCATCAACTGTTGTTGATTTTATGCAATTTTATTGGTTTATTTCAAAAATGACATCAAACTTAAATATGATTGGGGTTACAGAAAGATGCATGAGGGATGCATGTAAAGCTACATTAAAAATTGACAGAAAAACAATTTTCTTTTGTATAAAAATAAGTAACAACTGTCATATATTCTCTCTTTGGTCTACTATGACTGTTATAATGAATAAATCCCTGTATACTAAGTTTTTATGTTGAATTGTTGGTAGATTTATTGTAATTGATGTCTAATGTAGAAGATATATTTGAAGTTTTATGACATATTGCCAAAAATGAGTGCGCGAATTTATTCTAATATAATATATTTTCTAATATAATATATACAATCTAATAGATTACAGGGTGTCCTATGTAATAGATTGCAAAATTTTCCCCAATTTCAAAAATATATCAAACATGTATCAAACAAATCCTATATTTTTCAGAGTTTTATCTAGATTTTATAAAAAAATATACACTAATGTTAGTTTCAAGCTAGTTCAACAGTTAAGTTAGTTTCCCAAATTTTGTTAAAACTGTTAAAATTAAAATGCATGTGTTACATATACCTGAAATCAAAAAAAAAGTGTTCCAATGATAAAAAAGATAGTTTATACTAATACTAATAGACTAATAGCTGTAACATTTGACAGTGTGACTTCTGACATTTTGGTTATACCAAAATCTCCAAAAATATAAATGTTATGGCCTGGCTAAAAGTGGGACAAAATAATATGCTGACACTGTACAGGGACATAACTTTAAGTGGCTCATTCAGTTTACAATTTTCCTTTTTCTATTTGAAGATAGTAAAAGGATTTTTCAATACAATTTTACCTAGAACGTCAAATTTGACAGATACGTTGCCAACTTGATTTTTTTTAAATGTAAAAACCCCCACATTTTTTAAATAGCTTCTAAGTCCCACTAGTCAACTCGCATACCCAACAATGTTGCCATGTCCCACAAATATAGAACTTTTTTATTTTTTTACAGCTGTTTTTATTTTTTTTTATCTATTTACAGCTGTCGGGAATAGCAATCAAAACATGTTTTGATTGCGTTGGTTCGTCTCTGGGTTAAGTTTTTATTTTTGTTTAGATTGCATTCGAAATACCCGACCGATTATCGTTTATGCGCGAAATTAAGGGACAACAAACGGCAACATTTTTGGGTATGCGAGTTGACTAGTAGGACGTAGAAGCTAGTCATATTTTAGCGTCATCCAGTAGAAAATTGAGCTCATTCCAAAAAAATATTGTTAGGTTTACAATTACACTTCTGTTTTTGATATACAGGGGGTTGAAAAATTAAATTTTTAAAAAAGATGGCGTCGTATCTGTTAAATTTGACGTTATAAAAATTTGCAGGTAGAAAATCGGCACCCTCGCTTAAAATTCCATTGAAAAATCCTATTACTATCTCAATATGAAATAGGAAAATTGTAAAAATGATGTCTCTTAAAATGATGTCCCTGTACATGAAATATTACAATTTTATATGTATTATACATATTGTATGATCTGAATCAACAATTATGCAACTCGCAAACATTACAATTAAATTGACTTTGTCAGGAATATAACTTCAGTCTCCGTTTTCAATTCTACTTTAAATATTTTTATACTGTATATTAGGGTGTCCATTATTTTCCAAGTTGATTTTTTTTTGCTGCCGCCCTCTGAAGTTTTAGTTTTTGGTCTAAAAAAACTTATACAACGTAAACAAGCTCTTAATTTTTAATTTAAATCGTGCCGGAATCATGATACTTTTCTCATTTAAGTAACATGGGATTTTCTGACATTTTGCATTTAATTTTTTATCTCCACAGCAAATGAATCTACAGCTTCGACAAAGACATATTCTAATACAAAATTTTACGCTCTATAAAAAAGGTCTCTTTGGTTTTTTCCATAAAAACATTCCTTTAAAAGTTTTTCGCGGTCAAATTTTTGCACATAGTTTATAATCAAATTTTTCTATCATTCACTGCAAATTTTAATTGCGCCTTTTGATTTTGACTAAAAAAGGAGAGCCATACTTTTTTCAATAAAGCAATACTTCTTTCCCAACTTTAATATGGAAAACTAATATTGCGCCATCTATGATCAATTGATCAAAACTATAATTTAAGGTAATTGTTTCATTGCCTTTCAGTGTTCATAAATATGTATGTCAATTGAAAAGAATGAACAAATTTCGAGTGGTTTTTATCTTAAATATTACTTGTATCAAATTAATTAAACTAATTTAATTAATTAATAATTTAATTTTATTAATTAATTTAATTTTCTTAATTAATGATTTAATTTAATTTAATTAATGATTTAATTTAATTAATTAATAATTTAATTTAATTAATTCGATACAAGTAATATTTAAGATAAAAAAACACTCGAAATGTGTTCATTCTTTTCAATTGACACACATATTTAGGCAATGAATGAGTGGGAGGGGGGTTAATCACTTCGACCTTACAGATCCATTGTGTCCTAGGCAATGAAACAATAACCTTAAATTATAGTTTTGATCAATTGATCATAGATGTATTAGATATTAGTTTTCCATATTAAGGTTGGTAAAGAAATATTGTTTTATTGAAAAACTGAATAAAGAAATATTGTTTTTTTAGTCAGAATCAAAAGGCGCAATTAAAATTTGCAGTGAATGATTAATTATAAACTATGTGCATAACTTTGACCGCGAATAACTTTTAAAGGAATCTTTTTATGGAAAAAACCAAAGAGACCTTTTGTAGAGCGTAAAATTTTGTATTGGAATGTGTCTTTGTCGAAGCTGTAGGTTCATTTGCTTTGGAGATAAAAAATTAAATGTAAAAGGTCAGAAAATCGCATGCTATTTAAATGGTAAAATTATCATGATTCCGGCATGGTTTAAATTAAAAATTAAGAGCTTGTACCAAACCAAATACAAAACAAAATAATACAAATATTTTCTATAACTATGAACTTTCAAATCTCGCCACACCTTACCAGTTTTTTCAAAAAATCCTCCAAAAAATCGTGTGTGCGCTATGTGCGGATATTTGACGTGAAACTGCTTACTAACAGCTATTAAGTTGGAGGATTTTAAGGACATGTTTGAAAAAGTGTAGTTTGAAATGTTGAAGAAGTAATGAATTAAAAAAAAATAGTTTTATTACGTGTAAAATGTAGTTTTTACGTGTAAAAAATAGTTTTTTCGTTTAAAAAATAGTTTTTACGTTTAAAAAATAGTTTTTACGTTTCAAAAATAGTTTTTACGTTTAAAAAATAGTTTTTACGTTTAAAAAATAGTTTTTACGTGTAACAAATAGTTTTTACGTTTAAAAAATAGTTTTCTTGTTTAAAAAATAGTTTTTACGTTTAAAAAATAGTTTTTACGTGTAACAAATAGTTTTTACGTTTAAAAAATAGTTTTTTTGTTTAAAAAATAGTTTTTTTGTTTAAAAAATAGTTTTTACGTGTAAAAAATAGTTGTTACGTTTAAAAAATAGTTTTTTTGTTTAAAAAATAGTTTTTACGTTTAAAAAATAGTTTTCTTGTTTAAAAAATAGTTCTTACGTTTAAAAAATAGTTTTTACGTGTAACAAATAGTTTTTACGTTTAAAAAATAGTTTTTTTGTTTAAAAAATAGTTTTTACGTGTAAAAAATAGTTGTTACGTTTAAAAAATAGTTTTTACGTTTAACAAATAGTTTTTACGCTTAAAAAATAGTTTTTACGTTTAAAAAAATAGTTTTTACGTTTAACAAATAGTTTTTACGCTTAAAAAATAGTTTTTACGTTTAAAAAAATAGTTTTTACGTTTAAAAAATAGTATTTACGTTTAAAAAATAGTTTTTACGTGTAACAAATAGTTTTTACGTTTAAAAAATAGTTTTTTTGTTTAAAAAATAGTTTTTACATTTAAAAAATAGTTTTTACGTGTAACAAATATTTTTACGTTGAACTAATAGTTTTTTACGTGTAACAAATAATTTTTTATACTTAAAAAATAGTTTTTCTCTTTTTACGGATAGTTTTTTACGTGTAACAAATAGTTTTATATGCGTAAAATGAAACATTAATAAATAATTTGATTCTCTTTCACAAAATTTGTATAAAAATATCAATATATTTGATAAACACGTGGACTGCTCACAAATACACGCCGCATCACTAAGTCGTAGGCTGTCCTTACCACTTTTCGTTTTTTTTTCACTTTAAAAATGCTTCACGTAATTTATGAACGCCCGCTTAAGAAATCAGCGTAAACTAGGTCTACACTTTTTTCATTTTTGATCAGGACATTGTCGAAGAATCGGAAGACGAGCGTTTCGACGACATGTCGGACTCGGCCCCGCCCATAGAACTGCCTCCCTGCGAACTGAACCGCCTGGAAGAAATCAGCGACCTCATCAGCAACTGCCTGCGGACGCCCATTCGAAAGGAGAAGCTGGCCGCGGCCCTGGCCTCCGTCATCGACAACGAGGGCTACATCCGCAAACTGATCAACCTGTTCCACATGTGCGAGGACCTGGACAACACCGAGCGACTCTACCACCTGTACGACATCTTCAAGAACATATTCCTGCTGAATAAAAACGTTTTGTTCGAGACTATGTTCAGCGACGACTTAATATTCGACGTGGTGGGTTGTCTGGAGTATGATCCGTCGTCTCCTACCCCGAAACGTCACAGGGAATACTTGAAGCAACAGGCTAAGTTTCGCGAGGTGATACCCATTAAAAACGCGGAACTCTTGGCGAAGATCCACCAGACCTTTCGGGTCCAGTATATACAGGACGTGGTACTGCCTACTCCATCGGTTTTTGAGGAAAACATGCTCTCCACGTTGAGCAGTTTTATATTTTTCAACAAGGTCGAAATTGTATCGTTGGTTCAGGAAGACGAGAAGTTCCTTACTGAGCTCTTCACTATGCTGACTGATCCAAGCACGCCGGACACTAAGAGAAGGGATTTGGTGTTGTTTTTAAAAGAGTTTTGTAATTATTCTCAGAACTTGCAGCCGCAAGCCAAGGAGTCGTTCTATAAGACTTTGACGTCGTTGGGGATATTGCCCGCTCTGGAAATCACGCTGGCCATGGAGGATCAGAAGACCAAAACGGCCTCCATCGATATTCTGACTTATATCGTGGAGTATTCGCCGTCGGTGGTCAGAGAGTATACGTTGCAGCAAGCCAGTAACACTGATGAGGTAAGCGTAAGTATATTGTTTTGAATGGTTATTTGAGTTTATTAATTTCATTCACTAAAAATGGATTTTCATGCGTCAGATATCCAACGTTATGATATTAAGTTTATAGGTTGAATTTAAAGACTTTGATTAATTAGAAAATTCCGTAGTTTTTAAATTTGTAGCATTTTTATGCTTCCGTTTTTCAGATAATACAAATCGCAATTTCAATCAAACCATCCCAATTGGTCACAACCATAGATTTAGTAAGAACAGATATCACATTGTGCATTTTAACCCGATCAAACAACCGGAGGTTGACTACGTACTGTAAAAACCAACTGAAATAGAGAAGGCGACATTGCCACATCTCAAATTTGCGCCTATCTACTTAGTTTGATTTGCAGAAAAGGTGACTTTAAAACCTTCACCGGATATCAATAAATCTCAATTTCTTAAAAATTGCTACTTCTCAAAATTTCCCATTAAAAAATAGACCATATATCCCATATAAAATAAAATAATTGAAAGATCGGGCTACGGAAAATCACACAAATTTTCGGAAAAATTTTGACACCTGCACTGACACAGGCACACAATCGTCAATTAAAAAAAACTACTATTTTAGTATTTTAAATATTTTAATAAACCCAAAATTGGCACAGTATTTATAAGGTGAAGTTATAAAAATTTGGAAGAACTAATAATGCACTGACGCACACAAAAATCAAACGAATACTAAATTTCGTTTATCAAAAGCATTCGATAGTCGTGGCTCAACGATAACCATTTAGTTGCACGGCGAGGTTGTCACATATGCTTTAGTATACAAATGAATGAATGATTTTATTCGAATAAAACCATTCGATAGTTGAAGTCATTCATTCAGTAACCATTCGATAGTCTAATTCATTCGATAGTTCCCATCGCTACTAAAAGGGGTTTTAAAAAGAACAATGTTTACAAGCAGACCTGCAAGGTCCCAAAAAACTCGTAATATAAAACTAAAAGTCGAAAACGAATAATAACATTGTCAGGAAAAACATAGTCATCCCAATGGCGAGTATGTTTATGGTTGGCAACAATACATTTAAAATAATCGCATCAACGGATGACGCATGCATGAAAATCCAAAAATTTAAAACACGTGAATTTCAATAATTTATTTTTTGAATTCTTCACTAGGATCAAATTCTGCTTAACATCATCATTGAACAAATGATCTGTGATTCCGACCCAGAATTAGGCGGCGCTGTCCAGTTGATGGGCGTGCTCAGGATATTACTGGACCCGGAAAATATGCTCGCCTCGGTGAACAAATCGGAAAAGACGGACTTTTTAAACTTTTTTTACAAACATAGTGTTCAAATTTTAATAGGTAAGTAACGTTTATTTATCTTTCAAGGGAAATTGTGAAAAGAAAAGACATCCCTGTGTAGAGGGTGTCCCATTTTTGTGTGTTTTGCAGAGTTTTTCATTTGAGAAGATCATTTTCAAATTCGCCCTGTGTTCCAGGAACTAAGAAGGCTAGGAAAATCTGTGGGTAGCATCTTTAGTTTCATAAAAAAGTAGCAAAGTGATGTGAAAACCGCATTTTTGTTTCTGTATTCATGAACGAGAAATTCCATAAAACCCATAAAAAACGGGACAGCCTGTACAATAGTAGTTATTTTATTACGATTATTATTAGTTCCCAGTAATAATTAGTACGCAGAAAGAAAAAAATCGTGGGTGTTTGGGAAGGCTCGAAAGAAAACAATGTTTTTGCTACGTTTCGCGACTTTATTGTATTTACATTATTGTCGTTTCTTCAGGCACTATAGGAGAAGCAGTTTTTTAAAAAATATCAAAATAAAATTAACTGGCCACTTACCCAAAACATATTAATCCATATTTGGCCTAAAAACATTCATGGCGATTCCAACCGCCAACATGTGGTATTCCGTATGTGGCTTGGTGTTGGCGGTTGGAATCGCCATGAATGTTTTTAGGCAAAATATGGATTAATATCACAGATTAGACAGATTATAAACTTTGTTTTTTCTTTATTGTTTTTCCTGGTTCCAATTTTCAGAATCGGACACTAGTCAGGTTACTAGTTTGCGCCCATAGCACGCCCACTTATGGCCTCTAAAATTGTGCACAGCGCCTGACCGGCACAGTTATTAGAGAGATATCGAAAAACCGAATAGCGTCATTTACGCGTACCTTATCATGGTTACGATATGCGCGAGTCAATGTTTAACGCAACACCCGCTACTAACGTTACCGCCTGTCGTAATGTGCGGATCAATTACACCAAGCGCTATTTCTGAATAACGTTTAAAAATTGCTTAAATGGGCATGTGCTGGTATTTGACAACCGGGGCCGGCCGGCGAGTTCTATTATTTTAGGTTATGTTTGAATTGTTTTGAATTATTACTTTAGTTTTATTAGGTAATTTGATATTTAAGTAGCTGGGATTAGTTTTAATTAAATAAATATGGCCCAAAATATGGATTCCACCTCTTCCCATATTAAAGAACCTATAAAGAGGGTTAGGTTTACAGCAGATGACGACTTAGCCCTTCTAAGAGAATTTGTTGCTTGTTGCCCTAAACCCACTGGCAGACGTTGAACAATAAAGCACTGGAAATAAGCACTTTAGCCCTTTAGTTTTAAAATACCTAGTAAACAAAACAATTTCAAAGTTTTAAATTCAAAGTTAGGTTAAGTTTAAATAGCGGACGCGACGCGAACAGAATTATTTCCGATCCAATAACTATAAATGAAGAGAGTTAATACCACCTCACATAAAGGAAATAACACCTGGCCTTATTAACGACCATGCACGCTATTCGGTTTAGCGATATCTCTCTATGACGCTGTTTATTGTTATTTTTTACGCGAGTTTATTTTTGCGCACAGGAAATTGGGCTCGTTTGCACATCGTCATAAAAAACAATTTTTGTACCACGAATTAGGGATAAGATTTTTATCTGTATACATATAGTATACCTAATCTGTGTTAATATGTTTTGGGTAAGTGGCCAGTTAATTTTATTTTGATATTTTTAAAAAAAAATGCTTCTCCTATAGTGCCTGAAAAAGCGACAATAAAGTCGCGAAACGTCGCAAAAACATTGTTACCTTTCGAGCCTTCCCAAACACCCACGATTTTTTTCTTTCTGCGTAGTAGTTATTTTTTACGAAAATTTTCAAAAAGAAATTTTGTATTTAAGCTAAGTTATATTTTTTTCAGCGCCTCTGTTAGATAATACAATAAACGATACGCCACAAAAAGAAGACTACCGGAGCGTCCAATTATTGGGACTTATTTTGGAACTGTTGTCGTTCTGTGTGGAACATCATACCTACCACATCAAGAACTGCATCTTGAACAAAGACCTGCTGCGCCGGATATTGGTTCTGATGAAGTCAACGCACAAGTTTCTTGTTCTTTGTGCATTGAGGTACCACATTTTTGTTTACACTTTGATTCCAATATTTTCCCATGTAAATTTTAATGGGGTCAATTATTGGCTTCCCTAATTATTTTAGAGAATAATTATATTTAGGTTTATTGAAGAGCACTAAAACCCACATTCAAAAGAATAACTTTAGATATTTTTGATTAGACCGTTTACTAATAAAATATTCCTCCTTTCTTATGGCCCTGTATTTACTTATGAGCACCAGTCAAGGTAAAAGATAACTGTCAAATGAAGTTGTCATTTCAGAAATTTATCTATTTAGTGCTTTGAATAAGAAGATTAAGGAAGGAGCATATCAAAAATCTTAGGTACACCGCGATTGGCCTCAAATATGGCCGACTTAAATTCCGGTTTATCAGTGTCGTTCTAATTTTATTTAAAAAATGTAAAACTATGATTTAGGGTAGACGTGGGGTAGACTCAATAATTTGTTGTTTTATTTTACGTTGTGAATAAATGTTGGTAGTTATTAAAATTGTTACGTTAATTCTAATAAAAATAGATAAGTTATAATAAGTATTTATTACCACAAACATCCGATACGCTACTGAAGCAAGTAAGTCAAATTAACGTATCTAAATTCTTTGACATCTAATCTTTGACAAGTAATAAATAAAAGCTAAAATGCAAGAAAAATATATAATTTAGTTAATTTAAGTGAATTTCATAAATGATCGGTTTACTACACGTATGTATATTATATAGTCACTTACTAGCGAAAAGTTGTTCCGTTATTTCACTCAATTTTTGCCGAGATCTACCGCATGCTACACAACCAACTATTTTAGAGTCTTTTTCGATAAATCGCGATAGTGTCACTATTAATTTAAGTTCTGCCACAATTTCCATCTAGATTTACTACTTTTATACAACTATCAGTAGTAGAATAAATAATAAATAACATAAAATAAGCTCCGTGAAGACTGACAAATCCACAAAATTTCAAATCAAATTCAAATGTGTCAAATGCATCGTCAAACAGAACTGTCAAGGATCCCCACCCTAGAGTGCTTTTATGGCGCCTTTTCCGCCCACCATGCATGAATACATGGATAGCATTATGCTCCTTCCTTAGTCTTCTTATTCAAAGATTTAGTGCTTTATTATTATTATTATTAGAAACTCATACCTACATCGAAAATATTAGCCATGAATTACACTACCGAAGAAAAAGTATTGATGAATAAATGGTATTATCAAGGAAATAGTTATCAAAAGGTGTCGGACATATTTGCTGCTCTGTATCCGAATAGACTGATACCTGGAAAATCTACAATCGCAAGGAATATCCAGAGATTTGAGACCAAAGGTACCCTAATAAATAACTGCAGATGTGAAGCAAGGCAGGAACAAAGAGAAGATGCAAGAAATGATACCGACTTGGAAGTTTAATTATACGTGGAAGAGAACGATCAGCACAAGGAAACTTGAGGATGAAATAGGAATAGATCACACTACAGCGTTTTGAATTTTGAAACGACATAAATACTATTCCTTCAAATATGAAAAGCACCAAGAACTACGAGATGGGGACGAAATACGGCGGCAGGCGTTTTGTTTTGATATGATGGAAAGAGCAAACACAGATAGGGAATTTTTTAAAAACATATGTTTCACTGACAAATGCACGTTTACCTTAAATAATGAACCCAGTGTTCAAAATTATCGATATTGGAACAAAGAAAACCAACACAGGTTTGTCGAAACAAGGACGCAATATCCACAGAAAGTAAATGTTTGGGCAGGGATATTCGGACACAATATTATCGGGCCATTATTTCTTACGCGAAAATTAAATGCAGAATATTATTTGGAACTACTCGAAAATCATATTTTACCTGCTTTACATGATGCCGCTAGGGAAAATCAGGAAGTTTGGTACCAAATGGATGGCTGCCCGGCACATAACGGAAACGTTATTGGCCTAAATCATACAGTAAATTGGCCAGCAAGGTCTCCTGATATTTCGCCAAATGATTTCTTTCTCTGGGGCTATTCAAAAAACAGGATATACAAGGATAAAATATACCCAAATCTAGACGATTTAAAAAATATTTCTGCCGAATGCAATAGATTTCAGTTTACCAACTAGCGAATGTAAGAAGAGAATTTTATAATCGCCTGGGTTATTGTCTAGCAGTCGATGGAGGAATATTTGAACATCTTCTTAAACCCTAAAGTTCTAACAATTTAATAGTACCTAAATTAATAAGTTATTGAATATTGTAATAATACTATAATTAACCTTGTAATTGATTACTTTATTTTACTTTAATTCATATTAATTTGTATTTATAAATACATCTTTAAGATTTCCGATGTAGGAATGAGTTTTCAATAATAATAAAGCACTAAATAGGTAAATTTCTGAAATGATAACTTCATTTGACAGTTATCTTTTACCTTGATTGGTGCTCATAAGTAAATATAGGGGCCATAAGAAAGGAGAAATATTTAAAAAGAAATCGGCGATACCTCGTAAACAAGCTAATCAAAAATATCTAAAGTTATTCTTTTGAATGTGGGTTTTAGTGCTCTTCAATAAACCTAAATAGAATTATTCTCTAAATATAAATATACCCACAAATATAATAAAAAATAGTATTTTCTACTTAAAAGACATACTTTGTTACATAATAATAGTATAGATATATAATAGTAGTAGAGATACAATAATAATAGTTTTAGATATGGGATAATAGTTTTAGATATGGGATATTTCCAGAGCAGTTAAAATTATCTTTAATAAAGCCATTATATAAAAAAGGTGACGTAGAGTCATTGACAAATTATAGACCCATCAGTTTGCTTCCGGGTTTCTCAAAAATATTTGAGTTGGCTATGTGTTCTAGGGCTAAAGACTTTATGTATTCTTGCGGACTATTCAATACATTTCAACATGGGTACATCAAAGGGAGATCCACACAAACAGCTATCTTTCAGTTTACAGGTAGGATACTGGACTTATTAGAAGACAACAAAAGAGCTTTAGGTATGTTCTTGGATTTATCCAAGGCATATGACTCATTAAATATAGGTTTTCTTCTAACCAAATTAGAAAGATATGGGATTAGGGGAAATGCCTTGCAACTATTTAAGTCGTACCTTAGTAATCGCAGGCAAAGAGTAATAATCCAAAAAGGAATCAATTCTGCTAAGTCTAGTATTTTGGAAAATAACTTGGGTGTTCCTCAAGGTAGTATAGTCGGACCTTTTCTTTTTATTGTATATATCAATGATCTAAGTAACATTCTGCCTAATGTAGACAGAAGTATTATAAATTATGCAGATGACACTAACATGCTGATAGGAGGGGAAGACAATACAGATATTTTGAGTAAGGGTATAAAAATGTTTGAGGCAGCAAATAAATGGTTTTTGGGAAATAAACTTTTATTAAACAAAGAAAAAACCAATGTAGTAGTTTTTAGTACAAAACAGAATAGAGCAGAAAAAGTCACTAATATAAATCTAATAAACTGGATCTTTCAATTGCAACAAATACGCAGTTCTTAGGAATTTGTATTGACGAGTTCTTGGATTGGACTGACCATATTAACAAGTTATCATTGAAATTGAACAAAATTGCCTATGCGATTAGAGTCATAAGTCAGTACATGAACAGAAATACATTAAAGATAATATATTTTGCGAATTTTGAATCTGTAATTAGATATGGAATTATTTTCTGGGGTGGGTGTTCTGTTACTGAAAATTTAGAAAAAATCTTTATTTGTCAAAAGAGAGTAATAAGGTTAATTTATAACATGGCTTCTAAAGATTCTTGTAGGAATGTGTTTAAAATTAATAGTCTATTAACAGTGTATGGTCTGTACATATACGAGTGCATCCTTTTTTTATTTAACAATAAGTCAATTTTTAAAAAACATTCACAGAATCATAACTATAATACAAGGACACTCAATTTTGATTTTCCAGTCCACAGACTTACACTAACAGAAAAAGGTGCATATTACATGTGCATAAAATGTTTTAACAAATTACCGAGGGAAATTAAATGCATTCAAATCAACAGAGTATTTAAGAAAAAAGTTAGAAAATTGTTAATTAACTTAGAACCATATTCATTAAGTGATTATTTGAATTAAAATAATATAGGGTTACATTGTTGTATTTGACGTCATTTCATTTTGTGTTCATTTATATTATATAGTATTTTTAATACCCATTTAGAATAACACCATCCTTATTTATTATTAATAAATCAGTTGAAACAAAAAATTACCAACAAAAATGAACGTCGATTACTAATAATTTGTTAGATGTCACGTTTTTGAAGTTACGTTTCATGGTAATGTCATAACGCAAAATAAGATATAAAAATGCGATATTCTGATGAATCCAAAAAACTTATGCTTAATGTAGTAAACTATTTTCAAAACGATTTAGGATCTCGATTTAAGGCAATTCAAAAAGCGTCCGAAGCACTAAAAGTCCCAGAATGCACATTATATAATCTAGAAAAACCAAACAGAGCTACAGATTTCGAATTTAGAAGAAATATGTCTGCAAGCGTTTCCCGGAGCAAAATCCGAATTACTAAGAATACCCTACATTGTTTGAGGGAAGTAATTTACAAAATGTATGCGCGAAAGGAAAATCACAGTAGAAACTATTTTCCTGCAATTTATCGAAGAGTCTCCAGAAACTAAGATTTCCAAAAGTTCGTTATATTTGGGAATTAAAAAAATGGGTTTTCATTTCAAAAAACCGGATGGAAGAAAACAGTTATTGGAAATGCCTGGAATCAGATTAAAAAGAATATTATTTTTGAACAAATACCATGCTGCTAAAAGCGAAAAGCTTTTTACACCTGTTTTTCTGGATGAGACATGGATTTTTAGTAAAAGCGGGGATAGAAGAATGTGGCAAGATGGTACTAAACACAGTGATTTTAAAAAAACTGGAAGTGGGACGCGATATGTAATTGTTCATGCCGGTAATAAAAATGGTTTTGTGGTAAATGCATCGCTAATTTTTAAATGCAATAAAAAAACAGGTAATTACCATGACAACATGAACACCGAAAATTTTGAAAACTGGTTTAAAAAGCAACTAATTGTAAACTTGGAAGAACCATCGTTAATTATAATGGATAACGCAACGTACCACAGTCGCCTGGATGAAGAAATCCCAAGAAAAAGTTAGAGCAAAACACGCATGTTAGAATGGCTCAAAAAGAAGAATATTCCTTTTCCAGATCACATTTTAAAGGATGCTGTTTGGAATATAATTGAAAAGCAAGTTTTTCCGGAAAAAAATTATCATTTAGATAAATACGCTGCCGAGCATGGTCATTGTGTTCTCAGGCTACCACCCTACCATTGCCATTTTAATGCCATCGAAATGGTATGGTCTGAAACTAAAAGGCATTATACCAAGCTATTATGAAAACTGCAGGGTCACCTACTGAAGTGTTAAAAGTATGGAATGACGTTGTAAATAATGTACCGGAGCAACACTGGCAGAATTACATAAAACATACAGAGAAAATTATTTCTGAAGCATGGGAAGTAGAAAACAAACTGGATCTACTAAACATCGAACCTATGGTGATCTCTGTATCCAATGAATCCGATGATGAACTATCACTTTCCGAAAGTTATTCTGATTTAGAAAATAATTAAACTTAGCCTTTAAGATCACGTTGTCATTTTTTTTAAATCTAGAATTTGTACTTAAACGAGCCCTTAAATAAATATTATTACTGCTTGCTCGACTTCTTGTTATATTATTTATTATACTTTTAGTACTTCAGACGCTTTTTGAATTGCCTTAAATCGAGATCCTAAATCGTTTTGAATATAGTTTACTACATTAAGCATAAGTATAAGCCTTAAATCGAGATCTTAAATAATATAGGTATTTTTTTAAGAAAACTCGGTATCTAGTTAATAAAACAATATTTTTAAAATTAGTGCGCTTCTTTTATATTTTTTTTATTACGTCAACATCTTTAGAATTTCATAAAATTAATTTTTATTATTATAAACCGCCACTGATAATATGAAATTTCAAGTCACTCCGCCAATGCAATAACAAATATGTCAAGCATTTGACATGACAAAGGTCATAACCTAATTTTTTTCATGCGGGTTTAGATGGTGCAAGAAGCCGCATACGTTAAGTTACTAAAACGGCTGGTACCTCTAAATAGGTATTAAAAATACTATATTTGTATATTTGAAACATACTCTGAAATAAAGTATATATTATTATTATTGATTGGTGCTCATAAGTAAATACAGGGCCATAAGAAAGGAGAAATATTTAAAAAGAAATCGGCGATAACTCGTAAACAAGCTAATCAAAAATATCTAAAGTTATTCTTTTGACTGTGGGTTTTAGTGCTCTTCAATAAACCTATATAGAATTATTCTCTAAAATAATTAGGGAAGCCAATAATTGACCCCATTAAAATTTACATGGGATTTCCTATGTCCCGTCCGACGGACATGCGACATCCGGTATAGATTTAGTCTAGAATTAATCTTTGCGGAACCGAGTGCCTTTAGCGCTGCTTGACTGTCTGTGAAGATGACAACTGAACGATGTTTGATTCGTTGCAGGTTTATGCGCAAACTGGTCGCCCTCAAGGACGAGTTTTACAACCGGTACATAATCAAGGGCAACCTGTTCGCGCCCGTCGTGGACGCCTTCATCCACAACAACGGCAGGTACAACCTGCTCGACTCGGCCATTATCGAAATGTTCGAGTTCATCAAACTGGAGGACATTAAAACGTTGTGCTCGCACGTGGTCGAGAACTACGGTCGACTGCTGGACAAGTTCTGTTACGTGCAAACGTTCAAAGCGCTGAAACTGCGGTACGACCAGCACCAGGACAAGATGAAGGAGCGAAGCGACGGGTAAGTGCAACACTTAAGGCGGGTTCTCACTTGTCAGTTTCGCTGACGCAGTCTGACTGATTCATTATCAATGAAAAATAAAAATCAACGATTGTATTCACACGTTTCATGTTTTGCTACATTCAGTATTCAGTTGGTCCAAACATTTTAACGTGGTGATTTCGCAGACATGAAAATGGTTAAAACAAAATTGAAACCAGGTGTTCGCGAAGTTTGTTTACAATTAGCAAATGAATTACAGAATATTCTGGTGAATCAGAAAAGAAGAAAACGTTTTTTTAAAGCAGATACGTCTACAAGAAACCGTTGACGTTCTATTTTAACAGAACGTCAACGGTTTCTTGTAGACGTATCTGCTTTAAAAAAAGCGTGTTCTCATAATAGTTTGAATTTAAATATTTTAAATAGTTTTTTTTTCTTTATTCTTTGAATTTTTTTGCTTCCGACGATAGACTTTCCGAAACGTTAAGCATTTTTTTCTTTGTTAAGCCAATTTGTATAACTGTAAACATAACTTCTTATAAGCAGTGTCCGTTTAGGTTTAACGCAGAAGTGTTTACAAAAAATAACTATTTTATTTTGTAGATTTTCTTGCAGTGCAGTGGCGAAATACCCATAAAGGATTTTTTTGGAGATATACATTAAAATAATTAATTAACTTTAACTTGTAAACTGAACAAATCACGAAAATGTAGTTCTCACGCTTCAGTTTCTATTCATTATTCGATAATGATCAGTCAAAAATGAAAAAAGTAGAACTGGTTTTCACTTTAACTGAAAGTACGAATTTACTGATCATTTAACATGAAAATGTGTTCTGACGTTCATTATTTGTTCAGCATCACTGAATCAGTCAGACTGCGTCAGCGAAACTGACAAGTGAGAACCCGCCTTTATGTAAAACAAGGCTGGCGTTTTGTTTGTCTTTCTTTTCTATATATTTATTAAATGTCGGTCTGTTATTAAAGGGTTCCCTCGATTCTTCGCAACAGTCGGTACAGGCGCGACCAACGCCAGATGGAGGAAGAGGAAGAAATGTGGTTTAACGAAGATGATGCGTTCGACCACAGTCACGACGCATTCGATCACAGTCCCTTGGAGAAAAAGTTGGATTCCGAACTGGAGAGTATAGGTGGTAAGTTTTTAGTTTACACTCTCTTCGCTCTCAAAAATTATAGGTGGAAACTGTTATTCTTAAATAACAGTTAGAACTGTTATTGTTATTTAAAAATAACAGCTAAAATATGCAACAGGTTTCTTATTGATTTTTACGCCAGACAAATTACGTAGATAATACTGTAATAGAGATGGAAACTGTTATTTTTTAATTTTATAACAACAGGAACTGTTATTGATACTTAAATATAACAGCTAAAATATACAGGGTTGTTCACCACATACGACACGGAGTATTGTGGCTAAACGATGATATTTTTACAAATTGTAAGTTTGGGGTTCGTTGAAGGACTATTAGAGCTACAATTTAAAAATATTTTTACAAGATACAGAGTGTCCCAAATAAATAAAAAATATCAAAGTTGTATTTTTTTAAATGGAACACCCTGTATATTATTACATTTTTAGTTTCTACGATTAAAATAAAGGTAAATTTGATTAAGGTTTATTATACTTAAACATTACGTTTTTGAAATATTTTCAATTTTGTGAAATTGCAGTAAAAATTTTAAAGCTTTATTTCTCCAAGGGTATCAATGTTTTTAATACTAAATATTTAATGAAGTTTATTTATTGATCAGTTATTGTGTTGCAATAATAAAAATAATACTACTTTATAGAGAGTGTCTAAAAATTTACTTTAAATAATTATTAACTTCAAACGGCAACAACTTCTTTAATTTAAATAGAATGCCCTGTATATTTTAGGAGAATCAGATGCACAATTAAATTGTCTATCAAATTGCATTATACCATTTTTTACCTATCCCTTCAAGTTTTAGTAGAAAATGCATTTTCTTATAATTTAGACCTCATTTATCAATATATCCATGGAATATTGACATTTTAGATTGTTTTTAAAGCAACAAATGTACAAAATGTACAGACTAGTAATATTATCGTTTTTAGCAAAACGATAATATTACTAGCCCATTTGTATGCAAAAAAAACTATTTAAATCTTTATAAAAGAGTATACCATTAATTAAATATAACACCATTATTTCCGCCCATATACTAATTAATTACATACTTAATTGTGTTCGTTAATAAATTATTATAAATAAATGTGGATTTGAGTCAGAAATCAATATAATAATAAGTTATCAAATTCAAGTCTCTGATATAAATAAGCATTTATTAAAAAATGAAATATCATTTTTAAGGTGTTACTTTTTATCACACTGTCTAATGCCCATACAAAATTCAGTTTTTTAGTATTTGGAGCAATTATTATTAATCAACGCAAATAGTCAGTTAATGTAGTTTGAATACTGGAATCATATTAATTAATCCTCTTGAACAAATATTTAAACAGTTTTTTTTATTTTTTAATGAAATAAACGAATTATATCGACAATATTAGTATCTGTACTCTTAAAAATTTGGTACATATTTAAAAATAATCTAAAATGTCAATAGTCCATGGGTATATTGATAAATAAGTTCTAAATTACAAGAAAATGCATTTTCTACGGAAACTTAAAGAGATTGGGAAAAAATTTGATAGACAATTAAATTGTGCATCTGATTCTCGTAAAATATAGAGGGTGTTCCATTTAAATTAAACAAGTTATTGCCGTTTGAAGCTAATAATTATTTAAAATAAATTTTTAGACACTCTGTATAAGGTAGTATTATTTTTATTATTGCAACACAATAACTGATCAGTAAATAAACTTCAGTAAATATTTAGTATTAAAACTATGATACCCTTTGGAGAAATGAAGCCTTAAAATTTTTGCTGCAATTTCACAAAATTGAAAATATTTCAAAACGGTAAGGTTTAAGTATAATAAACCTTAATCAAATTTACCTTTATTTTAATCGTAGAAACTAAAAATGTAATAATATACAGGGTGTTCCATTTAAAAAAATACAACTTTGATATTTTTTACTTATTTGGGACACTCTGTATCTTGTAAAATTATTTTTAAATTGTACCTCTAATAGTCCTTCATCGAACCCAAAACTTACAATTTGTAAAAATCTCATCGTTTAGCTACAATACTCCGTCGTATGTGGTGAACAACCCTGTATAACAAATTTTTTCCATAGTTTCAGACATAGTATGTAGATAGAGTAATAGATGTAGAAACTGTTATGTTTAAACAACAGTTAGAATTGTTATCGTTATTTTTTTAAATAATAGCTAAAAATATGTAACAGTTTTTTTTTATTTTTACGCCAGACAAATAACGTAGATAATAACGTAGAGAGTAACTGATTTGGAAATACTTATTTTTAAACAATAGTTGGAACTGGTATTGATATTTAAATATAACAGCTGAATTATGTACCAAGTTTCTTATTGATTTTTAGGTCAGTGAAATTATGTAGATACTAGAGTTATAGACTTGGAAACTGTTATTTTTAAACAACAGTTGGAACTATTATTGTTATTTAAAAATAACAGCTAAAATACGTAACGTTTTCTATTGATTGTTCTTATTAAAAGTTAACCTAACCATATAGACAAATTACGTAGATAATAGAGTTACTGATTTGGAAATACTTGTTTTTAAACAATAGTTGGAGCTGTTATTGATATTTAAATATTACAGTTAAAAATATATAGCAAGTTTCTTATTGATTTTTACGCCAGTGAAATTATGTAGATACTAGAGTTATAGATTTGGAAACTGTTATTTTTAAACAATAGTTGGAACTGTTATTGTTTATTGTTATTTAAAAATAACAACTAAAATATATAACATTTTTTATTGATAGTTCTTATTGAAGGTTAACATATCACAAAGAAAGGAGTATATTTAAAAAAAAAACATTTTTATTATGACAGTACAAAGACATTTACTTTATCTGTAGAATTATCGCTGTCAGTGCTCCGTTATTTTCGTAACTGTTATTTTTAGGTATCCACGACTTCTAAACTGTTATTTATCAATAAGAGACGTATAATAACTTGTTAAATAACAGCCCTGTATGTAATAGGCAAACCGCATTAGTCCATCTAAAGAATATATGATTTTGCCAGTGGCGGTGCGAGGTTTAGTACTTTGGGGTTGCACTGCACAACTGAACTTGTGTGTATGCACTTGTTTAGGAAGCCACTGGATTTTGACAAAGAATAAGTGATAGACAAAAAGTACATTGTGAATTACTGTGACGTCCATTGTGAATTGTGAATTACTGAGACGACTATAGGGAAATTGGAACAACTTTTGTTGCACGTCATCAATGACACCATGCGTCGTCTTATGGAGTTTGCTGGTGGTCGTATTATATTGTGCAACGAAAGTTATTTTAATTTCCCTATACAGCTGTCACTGTCTTGTATTCTTCTGCTGGACAAACTATACAAAATTCTATGATACACAAATCAGAAATAATGAGGAATTGTTAGAATGTCTCTTGTTTATTAAGAAAGTTTGATCTGTAGAGGGGTTTGAACTAAGATACATGTTGTTGGTATTTTTATTACAGATGAAAAAACGACGGAGAAGAGTTTAGAGTCGGAGAGTATGGAAAAGAATTTGTATTCTGAGAGCGTGGAAAAGAGTACGGTCGTTTCGGATAATATACTAATGGATAAGGACTTCGGTTCAGAGATTATTAAAAAGAATTTGTATTTGGAAAGTATATGTGTCAGAGTGAATGAGAAGAAATCGTCTCCGTTCCGAACACAATCTAGTACAGAAGTAAATGGGCCTAGTAAGCAAGTAAGTCATTTAATTAGTGTAATTTATTAGGTTTATATTTTGCAATTATTAAAAAAATATTTCTTTGAGTGTGGTAGACAATGATTCAGTATTGATACTAGCAGATTTTTGGACTATACATTGTCCTTATTTATTTCTACTTACACAACGTTTAGGTCAGATGTATCACTAACTGTTATCAAGTGTAAACTAAACTAATTCCTAAAACTACTGAGCTTTTATACTACAGCCAGGCAAAAAAACATGGAAAAAATGGAAGTCGGAAATTCTATTAGTATCAATATTCGAAAATAGTTCGGTGATTGTTCAGAACTATACCGGGTGGCTCACCCCTATAACTTATTTTATTTTTTCAGATAAAAAAACGAGATTTGGTATGTTAGTATGTATATGACATAAATTAGGATTGATTGACGTATTCAATTGTTTTTGGTCATTTCCTGTTTCACCGGAAATGACTTGATTTTTTTGATTGATTTTTTCAACACCCTCGGTATTTTTTTACTTTAATCGATAGAATATGACACTTTGAATAGAATGACATATCATATGTCAACTTTTGACATTTTCGCATATGGTTTACTTGACATTGTAACATGCGGTTCATAACGACAATTTGACTCGAAATAGCAAGTGTGTGGTACCATTATTCTTAAAAAAATGCTTTTCTCTTGTTGAGATATGATTAAAAATACGATTTGGGCATCTTTTAACCGGCCAGGACAAGACACGAAAAACATTAGACTGTCTATTTCTATTTTAATAAATCTATTTTTCCAAGGCCCCTTTATTAAAAATTAGTGTTTTTAACACAGCCATGACAATCTAAATTGAAATTTAAAATACGATTTGTTTTTAAGCGAAATTGTCAAAATTTTACATATCATATGTAATTCTATTCAGAGTGTTATTTTCTATTGAATAAAATAAAAATATACCGAGGGTGCCATTTAAAAATCAAAAGTTATAGTTCTTTCCGGTGAAACAGGAAGTGACCAGAAACAATTGAACATGTTAATCAATCCTAATTTATGTCATATACTAACATACCCAATTTCTTTTTTCTATCTGAAAAAATAAAAAAGTTGTAGGGGTGTGCCACTTTTGAGACGCACCCGGTATAGATTATACCAAATAAACTTTTAGTCACGTGATTACCCGGCCCAGCGTTGCCGACTTTTACATATTTTCCTTTAATCAAAATATTTCTGGAAACCAAAATGTGAATTCAAAAAAACATGTAAACAAGTACCGTATGATCGAATAAAAACGGCGTCAGCGATGGCTATGAAATAAAGATCGCTGTCATTTTATATGTAAAATTATATGGGAAATGTCACCGATCGTCATTTCCAAGCCAACTGGACGCCATTTTTTTTCGATCATACGGTATTATTTAAATCAATGAAATTCACCTCCTTAATAGCACTTAAGGAACATAAAGGACCATTAATATCGCGTTCCCGTTTCAAATATTCTAATTGTACAATAAAGCGTTGTTTTTTTTTAATAAGGATGCAGGGGATGCACTCCAAAAACGTGGGGCCCATTAACTATTGCTGTAATACTTTCTTCTATACTAAGTGTGGATTGCATCGACTTACTATAATCGTAACTGGAGATTTTGACAATCAATAACCAGCCGTGGCGGCTTCACCAGCGAACGCCGAGCTCATGATCTACCAAAGTATAAAGATATGCTTTGCCATAGATAGGATTTCAGAGGGGCCCCACGTTTTTATTTTAGTCTAATATGCCTAAAAGCTATTCTGCCTAGTACTAAAATATTTCTGAACTAGAAGTTCAAAATACCTAATTGTTATTATTATTTTCTAGTTTTCAGTGCACATAAGATAAAACCGTTTAACTTAAAAGTTTTTTTACGGATTTTTTATTTGCAACTATTACTAACTATATTTTGAAGCGGATAATCGATTGTAAAAGTCATTAACTACGATTTCTGGCTATTTATGCTGTATTTTAATACCGAACAGTTACTAACAACAACTTTATGCAATGCAATTCATCTTTAGGCGCGTTTTTCTCTAAAGTAATAAAAAGTAAGTTAGTGCCTTTTGGCAGCAATGGGACGATATGTCCATTGTTGGCAACAATGAATTTAAAAATCGCGGCCTCGATGACGTAACTAAAAGTTTCTTAGGTATTGATAGTATTTTATTTAGCTTTGATAAAGCACCTGGAAATAAAATTCTAAACCTTGATGCTGTTAAGATAAAGCTTTAGTTAGTTCATTCTTATTAATTCCAACTAACTTCTAAATCCCAACTTAGTTGCAACCCCTGTGGACAAATATTGTTAAACCTAACTGCATAAAACAAGGTACTCAGGATACACAAACTAGTTGTAAACAGAATAATACTTCTTAAAACAGTTTATGAGGATCGAATTATGATAAATTTTTTACGCTGTAATTTAAACATTTTGATGAGGATTTCAATTTATTATTACTATGAGCCGTTTTATCTGTTTGTAGTTGAACAGTTTTCCTACGTCGCCAAAGGCAGCGTCGCCGCAACAGCCGGTGTTAAATAATAACGTGACGTCTCCACAGGGGGCGCCAGGCAACGCGCAGAAAGCACCCGAGAACAAAGTCGCCATCTTCAAAAGGGTAAGGGTAAGACGCTTAATGTTTACGTTGTCTTACCGACGAATTCACGAAATTTAAAGTAAAGTTTAAATTTTACGTTAATCCTAAGCTAATTTACTTCAGGAAGTAACGGCTGTTGTTAACTGTTATTTATACATAACAGTAACATACTCAGATGAAAAAAAATCGCAACGGAATTTTTTTAAATTTTTTTTATTTTTGGTCCTATTTTCAGGATTTTTTTGCAAACTGTATAGAGATATATCTACTTTAATTTATAAACTCAATTTTTTATAACCTTTAGTATTTGGCTTATTATACAGGGTTAATCAAAGGGTTGTTTTTTATCCTAACTTTAAAACACCCTGTGCAATAATTTCGTCAACAAATTTTCCTAAAACTTTATTTTTCGTTCAGAACCTGATGTCTTCTGAGCATTTTGTTTTTTGACATGATCTTGGCACCAACAATTTGCAATTTTTGCAATATCATTACTTTTTGATGTTATTTCTTTACATGACCAGGTGGCTTATGTGACTATTGTTGTAATCTCATATTGACAACTACATTTTGTATACCTACGATTGAATATGGTTCTTGGTGTCGAAGATTGTTTAAAAACCGTAGTTCTTGTTGAAGGTGGGCGAAATTATGAGCATATCTAAAAAATGTCTATACCGATGTGGCGGATTCATCTCTCCAAAAAAATTCTATTGTGTATTTCGCCACTGCAAGAAAATCTACAAAATAAAATAGTTATTTTTTCTAAATACTGCTGCGCTAATCCAACGGAAACTACTTGTAATACTTGGAAACTACGTGTAAATAAATTTGCCTAACGAACAAAAAAATGCTTAACGTTTCGGAAAGGTTATATCTTTCCGCCGCCGCGTCGGCAGCAAAAAAATTTTTCTTTATTCGTTGTATTTTTTTTATGAATAAAGAAAAATTTTTCTTTATCCTTTGTAATTTTTTTTGTTTGCGACGCCGACGTCGGAAAGAGATAAACTTTCCGAAACGTTTAGCATTTTTCTGTTGTGGAAGGGAATACAACAGATTCGTAGAAGGGGATACAACAGATTCGTCACGGTCGACACAATCAATACTTAATAAATTTTAAAGAAGGGCGAATATCATGCGTTCAGCTTTAACTATTTAATTACGTCTCGTGATACTTTATTTGTTTACTTATTAACGAGTCGTTGTAATTTTCTCTGTAGCTTGTAAATTTTTAAATTCAAGTTAAAAACGCTTGTACTTTTGGTAAAAATAAGTGGGATTGAGTTGGTGTTCGACAGTGGTCGCGCTATTAGAGCTCTGAATTCAAAAATCGATATCTCGAAATCCATTAGAAATAACTGATTGTAGTTTTTTTTCAAAAGCTTTCTTAATATTTTTGCTATATTTTCTTCGCAGACAGTATGTGAAAATCTTTACAAAAAAAAGTTACACGATTGCTGAAAATTGCTATGCTCTAAAAGTAAATGGACGGATTTTTTAAATTTTTGAATGAAAAAAAAACAAGCCTATCGAATTTTCTCATTTAAACATCTTGTAAAAGATCCGAACTTCAAAATAAAAAAAGTTTCAATATCTAAAGTGGTTCTTGAGTTATCGCGTGTTTTGTGTTAAAAAGAAATATCGCGTTTACTGATGTTTTCTTGTTATAAAAAATATGGACACCCTAACGATATCTTTGTAATTCCATTTCAGATGCTCAGAAACATATCTAATGATTTTATCTAGTAATCTTTTCGAAAAAAAAAGTCTTTTAAAAATAAGCGGTTGGCGATCGTGATTTTACTTTACTTGATAGGGAGAGGCGTACCGGAGAAATGTTGCAACGCCGCAACAGCACACCGTCGCATTTCTCTCACTCCGACTTAATAAGATCCCTATGCGATTTACTTCCACACATGTAAATACCGACTCAAAAGTAAGAGTTGCCAGCGCGGTATTTATATACAGTTTGTTAAATCATGAAAATAGGGTTAAAAATAAAAAAAGACTTTAAATTTGACGAAAAATTTCTCCGTTTCGTTTTTTTTTGCATATCTGAGTGTAGATTGATAAATAACATCCGGACTGTTATTTTAAAGCTCTGTATTTTTTTGTTTCAGGGTTTGGTGGATTACGAGGGCGGCGATTCGGACGAGGAGGACGAGAGCGACACCGGCGGGGGCGGGGAGAACGGCAGCAAAAGGCCACGCCTCTTGTAGTGACCCCCGTCCCGTTCCGTCTAGGAACGCCCCGTACTCTACGTCGTCGACCAGGAAGGTGGGTAGTACGAAACGAAAGCGCTAGAAAGCCACAAATCGTCAAAAGCGGTGCTTCACTGATTCAGATATTATGTATATCAAATACTATGCAGTTTTGTTTGCAGTATAGCTAATTTATTCTTCCGTTTTCCGATCTTTAGATATTGTTAAAAGTTGTTCATAGTTGTGTCAGTTTTTTTCATATGATATTATGGGAGAAGTAGTATACAGGGTTCGGCAATAGTGCGTCGGGCAACTGTAGCTCCTATAATAAAAAACTTTTATTTTTCAAAAAGTTTATTGAAAATACAAGAAATGTCCTGAAATCAAAACTATACTTATGTATTTACTATAGCTGGTCTCTACTTACTGTCCTATAAACATTGTAATCTTAAACCATACAGGGTGTTTAAAATTTTATGCCAAACTTTCTAAAATATAAAATTGTTTTTCTTCATTACAATTCTCTAAAATAAAATGGGAAAAACTAATTCATCATTTTTTAAATTTACCTGGGATTTACTATGTTCAGGTTGATGATGTGACACACGGCATAAGTATAATTTAACTAAAACTGTTAAATTTCTTAACCGAAAACCAACAATACAGAAATAAAAAGTTCGGTTAAGATTGAGTTTACTGATTGTTGAACTTCAGAATAAAATAAAAATAAAACACTAAATCACCACAATACACCAGAACACTTTTACTTTTACACTGGACGCGCGTTTTGCTAATCATGTTAGCATCCTCAGCAGATGATTAAGCCTAATTAAAGTAAGTTTTTTGTAAAGTCCGTAGGCTTCAATTTCAAGCATACTTTCTTTACTATACAGAAATTTGATTTCTAAATCAAGCCATTTTTGTTTTGCAAAAAGATTAGGTTATTAGGAGCAGATATTTGGTTTCTTAAATCATACAAACCAATTCAGTTTATCCTAGTTTTATTAAAGTTGATATTCCTAAAAGTAACGTTAGTGATAAGATAGAGAAAATTGCAAAACAAAAATGGCTTGATTTAGAAATCAAATTTCTGTAACAAAAGTAAAAGTGTTTTGGTGTATTGTGGTGATTTAGTGTTTTATTTTGCTGTGATTTTGATTTTGTGTTTTTGTTTTGGTGTTACAAAGTTTCCAACCCCCAACTGTAATATTGTTGAACTTCACAAAAATCTATCAACGAAATTTCAAAAATGGTATACCTAATAAAAAAAAACTTCAATAATCAATCAAAATCTATTTTGTGGTGCAATAACTATAAATTAGAAAACGTAAATGTCAAAGTAATGTCTAGACTAATAACGGAATTCTGAAGGTATTGGACTTACCATATCTATCTAATCTCTTGAGGCTTGTCACTTGGTGCGTTTGAACTACTATACAAGATCGATATTCAAGGCGCTGCACAGTGCTTCGAACATATGGCTCTAGAGGACAAAAATGCAAAACTACTCCTTTATTGTAGGCAATTTATTCAAACTAGGTTTATTTGACACAAATGATGAGTACTCTCATTGTACTAAATGATGATGTTCTTAGTCCCGCGTTTATGAAAAAAAATCTTATAAATAATGAAAATGTTGGAGCTGTGTTCCATCTAAGGAAATAATAATTTATAGTATGAAAACGGTGTAAGTATTAAATAAATCCCTGTGATAACATGATGCCTACAATATAAGCCTAATATAAGATAAAAATGTTTTTCTTTAATGAAAAAGAAACATTAATGTTATATTTAATTAAAAAAAAAACTTAAGATACTATAAATTTACTTTAGGACAACAAAATGCATAGATCGTAACTACTCTGATTCAGAAGAATCACTGCTGACAGAATCTTCCAAATCTATAGTATCCAAATCACAGTTAGATGAACTATCCTCACATATAAGATATTTCTGTACATTATTTTCTAATATGTTACTTTTTCGCGTTGTTACTGTTCTTTTTGTTGGTATGAGGGGTTCGGATGTTAATAGTTACCTCTTTAATAGACCATATCCATATATTATTTTTTCCTTTTCTTGGGTATGATGTTTTATAATAAATTGAAAGATGGAAACTTTTTTATGCGACGTTTCGCTCCAACATAGTGGGCTTTTTCAGGCACCAGTTGTGTCTCATTTGACTGGAAGGTTCATCAATATCTAATAAAGAACACATTTTTTGAAATACAAATAATTTTGAGTTATGTCCTTATGATCAAGCCAAGTATTAACCAGATCGGCATTGCTTATCAATTTTACTCCATCTGAAAAGTATTATAAAATAAAATTCGTCGCTAGCAGACGCAGGTGAACTATATAAAAATTAAAAGTGTATAAATATGACAACAAAAATATTCAATAAATACGATATGTTTTGATATGTTTTTTTTAATGCCTTTTTGAAGTTTGAAAACGTAAAATTTTTATACCCATTTAGAAACCATCTTAAAAAATAAATAAAAACTAAACAATCACGAACTTGTTTAGAAATAAATTTAAAGTACATACCTTGTTTAACAATATCTATAGTGGCTTTCAATTAAGTATGTATCGTTTAGCTCCATAATATACAGAACTACTATGAATGTTATTCTTTTCACTGTTAAGATAATGATCGCAAAATTTATTTTTAGTAAAAATATTTGCTAACAAAAATCGCTGTATATGAAAAATAATATACAGGATGGTTGAACATTGCTATAAGTATAAAATTACATATACAGATATTAGTAAATTTTAACTTTTTTTTTCGATTTTTGTCCATGGGACGAAGCACTGTGCGCTGCTCGGATGTACCGATCTGGTCATCGAAACTCCGTTGTCTGGATTTTAACGTGTAAGACAGTGATGTAGACAGCTTAATGGAAAATCATATGTATTAAAAAGAGATAAAAATGGGGTTGATACATTTCTTCCATGCGGTATTAACGCATTTTGCATCAAAATTTCAAACTGCACAAGTAGGCGTATATGAAAAATGTTGCATCTAGGGTTGGAACTTTATTTTTCACAATTAGTTACTCATTTTACTACAGAAGAGATTATATTTAGCTTAGATATATTATCTTAATTTCAGTAGTATACATGAACGTTTTTAAAATGGGAAATTAAAATAACTTTCGTTGCACATCATAATACAACCACCAGCAAACTCCATAAGACGACGCATGGTGTCATTGATGACGTGCAACGAAAGTTGTTCCAATTTTCCTATAGGTTATTTTTTTAAACACTCATTTTCCTACAAATGTAAAAACCGGCAACACTGTATGCCTCTTTTTATTTTCTCTCTCTGTCTGTCAACCGGTCATTTATATTTATCTGTGTCGCATGCATTAAAATACAGACCGCGCAGATGAAGCGAACAGACCTAGTATAGCATTAATGGTTTATTTTTTTGTTTACATCTACCAGTGAAGCACTGTTTTTATTTGAACGATTGACTGGTAAAAGACAAGTAAATAGTGACGATTGAAGACATTAAATGATCTCAGTGTTTATCTTAATACGTTTATACACGAATATAATAATACACAGTGTTGGATGAGTGTTGAAAGAAGTAAGATTTTGTTTATAATCTTCTATAATGTAGTGTACAAAAGGTGGTGTCATGCTTTATATATATCGTGCGCGTTAGTATTACGGGGTTTGAGTTAATAGTAGCAAGTTAAAGCTTCTAGTGTAATATAATAAGAAAAGTTTTAAACGCCTAGAAATGAAAAAAATCATTTTTTTAGTATGTAACGTAGTTTCTGTCTTTGTTATATTATATTTATTATAGTGTTACAGAGCTACCATAATATAGGCTGTGGGCAAGAACAGTTAACCTAAAAGGACTGCTCATTCAGCCAAAAGTGTCTGCCAGGTGCATGCGAAAACTCCTGGCTTTGTGACGTCATTGCTGGTCATTGTGTCATGGTTATTAGTCCTTATCCGGCAACCAATAATACACACACGTGCATTATTGGTTGCCGGATGCAACACGTTCATTATTTAGTTTATTTATTTAAACACCTTATATGTATGCAGTATAGAGATGTTATTTGTCATTATTTTGCTCATTTTAAAGAAGGAAGGTGGTTAATGTATATGGCTGATATTTGGTAATATACCTATATTGCCTATATCAAGTGATTTTAGTCAAAGTTGCATTGATTATTGGTGTAAATTAAAAATTGTTTCATTTGCAGATTGCATGATCACTATCTAATTTGATGCATAAGTGAGAACCATAGCTTTACATGGAGAGAGCTCATTATTCTCAAATTCTACTCTCAAATCTTTTATTAAAATATCAGTTCTTAAATTGAATAACATTTTCATGGGGAAATAAACGTCTTGGGAAAATTTGTTAGCTTAATTACTGTAACATATTAGAAATAAAAAAAAACAAATTTATAATAGTTCTAATTTTATTAGAATGTTGCAGTTTCGATTACGGCCTATAAGAATAAACTGCAAGAAACTATGGCTGTTCTATGTCAAGAAAATACAATAATTACAACAATACAATACAATAATTTTAACAATAAACAATACCACATTGTACAGGTTAGTAGTAAGTACTACAAAATAAATATAAAACCCTTAACCAACAGTCAATACATATTTACTTAAGTAAGACCAAAAACAAAATAAATAAAGCCTTAAACCAATAATCTCTTTCATTTTGTTGGGAATAATTCTTGCTTATCCGTTTTCCTTTTATGGCTCATTATATGGTCTTTTTATTGAACTAAACCTTCTCTGTTCATTTAGAACAATAATTGCTGATGTGTCCTAAAAATAAAAAGAGACTATTTGGCATAGTGTTTTTTTTTCATTTCTATGTTACCTACCTGGCTGATTTACTATGATTACGATAATAATTGTAAGTTTTTTTCCACATAGTCATTATATTTTCTTGGCTTGGCGAATGCATAATTTATCTTGATCTTCTGTTTTTCATACCACAGTTTATAACTTTCCTTTGTAGCAAAGTCATAGGCAAAGTTATGTGTTTCCATTTCCAATTTTACTTCATGGTGTTTACCT